TAGGTTAGATTTTTGTGACATATTCATCAAAAGATTGATTTGTTATTCCCTGTTATCGTATCTCTGTTATCTTCAGCAGGTTCGTCTATCAATATTGTGTCTGCATTATTAAAGCATTTGGAATTTTTACTCTTTTTCTACACTATAGTGGACAAGTTATGTAGCAATGGAAATATCTGGTCTGTTAATATTTGGTAAAATTCGCTTGGAAACCATCTGGGCCTAGTGTTTTTATTTCTTTTCTTTTTTTATTTTGAGTGTGAGATATTTCTTAGGTAACTTTCATAATTCTTTGGTAATTTTCTATGTTTTGTCAATGGAAATTGTTATGCTTAAGCTTTATATCACAAATGGGTTCAATTTTGTTAATACTTCTTCTTAAAAATCACCTATTTTTAAAGCTAGTTTTTAAATTTATTTTTCAATAAGTTGGACAATTACTTTTTAAAACTTCCTATCATTCATTATTTCTGCCCCCTTGTCATTTCTTCATTTTTAAAATATTTGTGCAGCCTCTATCTTTTTCATTAGGTTAACTAGTGCCGTAACTAATATTTTGTTGAATTTTTTAAAATAAGCATTTTATTTGTTTTTATTTTAATGTTTTTAATGTCATTACTTTCTATCTTAATTTTTGTCTTAGACTTATATTATTATGTTTGTTGCCTTTAAATTATATTTTTGACTCTTTATTCAGTGATAAACGTTCTCTCCTTTCTACCGTTATGTTAACATTTTGCATTATTTTTTCTGTTAGACTATGTGACATTTATTCTTCTTCCCTTGTCCCACTTTCCTTTTAGTTTTTGGTGTACAATTAACTATATTAAATGCTAGTAGCAGTCTTTTGCCAACATTTCCTAAGTCATATCTTATTTGGCTAAAGAGCCAAAGGATTTCTAAGGAATATGGTATTCTTTATTCTTGTGGACTTAAGTCTATTTCTCTATACCCTTAATACTTGAATGACAGGCTGGTTATAAAATCATTTATTATTTTCTTTCTTTGGATTGCTTGAAATGTTACCTGATGATTGTTCTTGTTTTGCACGTTGCTGCTCCAAATTCTGATGACAATGTTCCCCCATAGTTTTTACAGAATTTGTTTTTGAGAAGTTTTAGGTTTAAATTGTCCAGAAAGTCAAGCTTTCTCATGTACTCTCCTACCTTGTACTCACTGCTCTGTGATCAGTGCCTTGGATTTCTGGGACACATCTGCCACAATGCATGAAGCAATCTTGATGCATTCCCCCCGCCCACGGTGCCAGTCTGTGGATGGCATGCATAGGGACCCTGCAGGGTTCCTGAACTCTTTATAGTGACGGTCTCATCTTGCTCCATCCGAATGTCTGGTGGACTTGAACCTCCAACCTTGCTGTCAGCAGTCCAACAGTTACCAGGCAGTGTCTTAGTATTAACGAAAGCCCGCCATTTACATGGCTGTCTGTTGATTGCTCGCATAGAATTGACTCTGCCTTGGGTGGCCCCGTGTGTGCAAACTAGAACTGTCCGCAGGGTTTCCATGACGGTTCAGAACTGGGCTTGCACACGCCTAAGGGTTTTTGAAAAATGCATAATATCTACCATTACCAAATCATAAAAAACATTTCTTTACCTTTAAGGGCCCCTTTCTTCTACCCTCTGTTCTCTGGAGCCCCTGAAAACCACTTATCGTTTCACTGTGTCGGTAGTTCTGTTGAAGAAGCCTTGGGGAGGCAGTGGTTAAGAACTCGGTTGCTAGAGGAAAGTTGTACGTTTCATCGTTGCTACCCTGAACCCTGAGTGGCTCCTCTCCTCCCCACAGCTCTTCTGTAAGGGGATGTCCAGTTGCCTACAGATAGGTCTTGGGTCCCCAATCTGCACTGCCCCTCATTCACAATGATTTGATTTTTTGTTCTTTGATGCCTGATCCCTGATCCCTTTGACACCTCGTGGTCACACAGGCTGGTGTGCTTCTTCCGTGTGGGCTTTGTTGCTTCTGAGCTAGATGGCCGCTTGTTTACCTTGAAGCCTTTAAAACCCCAGATGCTATATCTTTTGATACCCGGGCACATCAGCTTTTTTCACCACATTTGCTTACGCACCCATTTGTTTTCAGTGATGGTATCGGGAAGGTGAGCACACAATGATATGATTTTTTTTGTTCCTTGATTCCTGATTACTGATCCCTTCAGTACCTCAGGATCCTAAATGCTTCCTTGCCCTCATCCCCCACTATCATGATCCCAATTCTACTTATGAATCTGGGTAGACCAGAGGATGTACACTAGTATAGATAGGAACTGGAAACACAGGGAATCCAGGACAGATGATCCCGTCAGGACCAGTGGTGATAGTGGCAATACCAGGAGGGTGGAGGGAGGGAGGGGTGGAAAGGGGGAACCGATTACAAGGATATACATATAACCTCTTCCCTGGGGGACAGACAACAGAAAAGTGGGTGAAGGGAGACATTGGACAGTGTAAGACAAGACAACATAATAATAATTTATAAATTATCAAGGGTTCATGAGGGAGGGGAGAATCGGGAGGGAGGTGGAACAAATGAGCTGATACCAAGGGCTCAAGTAGAAAGCAAATGTTTTGAGAATGATGATGGCAACAGATGTACAAATAAATGTGCTTGACACAATGGATGTATGTATGGATTGTGATAAGAGTTATACGAGCCCCCAATAAAATGATTAAATAATTTTTAAAAAGAACTCGTTTGCTAGCCAGTCAGGTGGATGATTTGAACCCAACAGAGAAAGGCGTGGCAGTTGGCTCCCATACAGAGTACAGCCTTGGCGGCCCTCGGAGGCAGGTCTGTTCTGTCCTGTAAAGTCACTATGATTGGAATTGACTTGCTAGCTAGGGCTTAAAGTTTGGCCTTTTTAAGAATATCATGTAAGTGTGATTGTAGCTTTCTAAACCTAGCTTGTGCATTTAAGCTTCCTGTATGCCTTTTCATGGCTTGAAAGCTAACTTTTTGTGTCATTGAACAATGAGTGAAGTTTATAAAATATTGCTATTAGGGCTCTCGTTCATCCATGCATGGGTTTATTTCACACAACATACGTTTCAATGTATCTCTGTAATCTGAAGGCATTGCTGTCAGTAAAACACTTGTCTTCGTCTCTATAAGGTGCCTTCAAAAGAAATTCTCCCCCAAGAGAGTGGTTTCTGGGGGATCTACTGGGCCAGTTAAATGCCAGGCAGAGAGTTTAACTCAGAAGGTGATGGTGACAATGTTTGGAATTCCCAAGGGCTAATCTTGACAGCTTTTCTTCTCAGACCCAGGGTGAAGAAGTCTGAAGCTAATGTGCTAAGGACTATTTTGCATCACAGCCATGCATCTGCTCCTTCTTCAAGGGTACCAAGAACTGTTCTGTGAGAAATTTGTTGGGAACCTTCCCCCGCCCACCCTACAGCCCCGATCTCGCCCCTTCTGACTTATTTTTGTTCCCCTAAACTGGAAGAACATGGAAAAGGAGCACATTTTGAGCCCTTTAAGGATGCCAAAACTGTCTTGAGTGGTGCTCAATGGAAAAGCACAGACTTCTTTGAGGGAGATTCAGAGAGAGACGATATTGTCTTATAAGGGTAGAGAACTCAATGAAAGATAAACCAAGAAACAGTGGCTTCATACCTTTAACGAAGTTTTCTCTGGTTTTGTAACAGTGCTCTTCCGACTTATCCTCACACTTCATTGTATGAATGTGCCAGTTTGCTTATCTGTCTGAGGCTAATTAGTTTTCTTTCCTTGGTAAAGACATGGAAGCATGGTCTTCTCCTTTATCACTGAAAGCACCTAATAGTTTTGGTAGGGCTTGTTTCAGAATGGACTGTTACAGTTTCATTTTCCTGATAATAAAGTGGGCTTTGTATGAATATTCAATGTCTTTAATTTGCAGAAAAGCTTCCTATATTGTAGTTGTAAACATGTCTTTTCCTTCTTCAAAGGATCTGACTTTGTTCTCGATAGCAGCTTTGCAGAAATGGGGTCTGCTGACCAGTGATTTCGAATCTGCGGTTTCATAAGCCGCGGTCCTGGCTGTGTGCACCCAGGGAGACAGGAGTGGGCTGCTTCCGGGTTCTGCATGCAGCTCCGCACTCTTGTGTAGGGCACTTCCAAACTTTCTGTACGCTGTCAAGTTTGTAAGGCAGAGCTGGGAGGATCCCTTTGTTAAACTTTCAGGTTAAATCAGAAACCAGTTTAAGATGCATCATCTGAAGAGTTTGAAAGATACTGTATTTCCTATGAAGAGGGAGCCTTGGCGTAGTGGTTTTGCATTGGGCTGCCACCCGCAAGGCCCCAGTTCGAGCCTGCCAGCTGCTCTGTGGGAGAACCGTGAGTCATTTTGCTTCTGGGAAACTGGGAAACCCAAAGTGGGAGTCCCACCCTTTTCTGTCGGGTTGCCATGAGTCAGAATTTACTCAGTAGCAGTGAGTTTGCGTTTTGTTTTTTCTTCATGTTTCTTATAAGTGGTGGTAAAGAAAATTCAAAACAGAACTGTGAAGAGATCATAGTTAGTTCACACCGAAAACATTTATTGCGACTCTCCCTTGACGTGCACCTGGTTAAAGCACTATTGACTAGAAACGCTGTTGTAGCCTGCAAAGGTCACAGGAAATTCCAATGAGATTTGTGATTGTTACATTGAAGGTGACTGTTAGATAAAGTTCAAGGATAGAACTGACATCTTAGATAACTGAATCTCTAAGGAAATGGACTGATTTTCCAGACTCATTAATGGACTCTAATCAAATGCATTTTTTTCCTGTTTGTTTTCATCTGTTACTAACACAACTATTTAGTGATTCTACTCTCAGCCAAGACCTGACTGAAGATCTAATAGCGCAAAAATAAATTTAAATAGTATCTCGCACTCAGAAAAGCACTGTCTAGTTTGGCCTATGTGAGAAGTGGTTTCAAATAACCTACGTCCCACCCCCTCATTTGGTTTGCTCTTCTCTTAGCTCACCCTGCTGAGCCGTGCTCTGCTCTCTCTCGTGCAGGGCAGCCACTGACCACAACGTGGACAACACAACAGCAATACTCAGGGAGTGGCTGAGAAATGTGCAGCGCATGTACCACTATGTCGAGTGGAGGCCTCTGGACGAACCACAGTGAGTCTCGAGATCACATTTTGTAAACTCATTGTTTACTCTTTCTCCTCTAACAAACGCTCCGGCTTCGAACCCAGGGCACACATGTGACTCTTCCCCGTCCGTCATCTCTTTATCCAATGAATTAGGAACCCTGGCGGGGCTATTAGGTAAGTCTTGGACCAATAACTTCAAGATCTTCATTTCAAACCCACCAGCCACTCCATGGACACCTGTAAATTCCGTAAGAATTTACAGCCTTGAAAATCCTATGTAGGTTTGTTATGAGCCAGAAGTGTTTGGATGGCAATGGGTCCCATTTTTCAAAATCTAATGAGTTATGAAGACCTGTCATTTCTTCCCTTGACAGACTGTAATAGTTCTCTCTTCCTTCTCACATCAACCAAAGCCAGGTTCTCATTAGCTCATATACAAATTACCACAATAGTATATATTTTAATGTATTATTTGTATTTTGATTATAAATCTTTTATACCTGAGAGATCACAGTGAAACTCTTGTATGCTTTCTATATTTAATTAGCTTTGTGTACAGCATATCCTGGAGATAATTTCATAGCGGTGGATGGGGAACTTCTTCATGCCTTTTATGAACATAGTCATGGTTTTGCATCATGTGTCATAATTATCTAAGCATTCCTCTATTGATGAACATTTAGGCTATTTCCAGTCTTAGCCATTGTGATTAATTAGTAACTGTCATCTCTACGTCATCCTCCAAACCATCTTATCAAATCAGTCTATATAAAATATTAGGTGGGTGGCTTCCTCTTTTATAAAGACTCCAATAAGTTCCTACTATGCAAGAAGCACTGTAGTAAGTGCTACGCCCATCAGGCTTTCTCTAATGCTGCTGCGATGCAAGTACTAATGCCATTCCCCTTGCACAATGGACAGTCAATACCACGGAGAACATAAATCTCTCAAGACGGAATTACTTCCTTCTTTGAATTGATATAATTAATGAAACACAGGTGTTCCAGTGAGGGAACATGTAGGTGGGAACTATATGTCCTAGGGGCCATGGAAGAATTAAGCAAACTTCCCAAGGTCAAACAATCAGTATAGGGCACAGATTAAAATCCAGGCCAAGATCCTTAACCCACACACTCCATTCTCTCCGCCGACATGTGCACATGTGAAAGGTGAAGATGCAGCATGGTGAGCGTAGTTGTACCTAAGCCACAGACACAAAACGGGACTCCTGCATTCCACAGAGGAAAGCAAGGTGTCCCTGGAAGACAGGTCGCCACATTGCAAACATTTTGTAAAAGGGTGCCTTGAGCAGTAACACGATTCCACCAGCTAGACTTTGTCTTAAATAACTTAGCCTTTGGTATTCCTAGAGAAAAGAGTATGCCTGTGATTGTAACCAATATGCATTACTTATCAAAATAAAAGTTTTATTATCAAAATTTGCTAAGTGATATACCCAAAGCAAGGTCCGCTTGCATGTATAAGCTCCCTGAACTATAACACCATATTAAAAAATACATGAGTATTTGGAAAATGGAAAAAAATGAAATCACAAGTTGTGTTAGACAGGGTTCTCTAGAGAGATAAAACCAAATTCTTGATAATATAATATATTTATTTATAAAGGTAATTAATATATAACAAGAAATGAAATGTTAAATCATAAAGATAATTAGATATATAACGAGAAATGAAATGTTAAATCATATACAGATAAATATACAATCTTAAATCATATACAGATAAATATACAATCATATACAGATAAATATACAAGAAATAAACAGTTAAATTAGAAGCACTATAAACGGCTTAGTGCAACTCACGTCCGTGAGAGAAAGTTGAGAGACTAGCAGTCCTTCCAGTCTCTAACTGATGCCAGATCTTCCTCTATTTGTAGAGAGAGCTAGGTTATGTCAGCACAGCAGCCAATCACAAGGCAGGTCACCAATTGCCAGTCCCCAGCTCCAGAGAAGTCTTAAAGGGACCTCAACTTACAGCAACACAGTCCACAGGCTAGGCGTCCCACAGGCAGTGTAGCCTTTAAATTGAAGCACAGAACAAGCAAGGCAGCCGCACACTGGTCCGATGATCACAGCAAGAAAGGCGAGGCTCACCAAGCCATCCATCTCTCCGCCCCTCAGTCAATCCCACCTGCGTCTATCAGCCAGGCTGGCACAATAAACTGTCTCACAAGTGAAAAGCTACAATAGCTTGACAATATTCATTGGAAAATGTTTTAATACTGCAGATGTATATGTTTCCATAAACTTACTCCCCATGCTTTTGCGCCCATATTTCTACTGCTTCTCAACAAAAAAATCTACTTTAGTTTGAATATTCCATGATGTCTTTTGGACTTTTTTTGTCCCAACACCAAGTCTTTGCTCTTGCAAGTTTATTTTCCTAGAGGGTTTTCCTTTCAGTATATCTAAGACAAGTCCCCAGTCCCACCTCTTACAAAGTCTCCATTCCCAACTACCGTGGTTACAAAATCTCACCTCGCAACACTTTACCTCACCCTTTTGGCACAATATACTTAAGTAACAAATTGTTCTTTAAATATGTAATTTACATATTTTTTTCCTAAGTAAATTTAGGGTTTGGGCAGCAGCTAGCCAGAACAAATATTTTACATTTTCTCCCAGTGCTACCTTCCTGGCAGTCAGTAAATTAATACTTGTTGGATGCACAGATGAGTGAGCGAGAGCATGGAGAAATTATTGTAAATAGTTCCTCCGAGCACTGTAATGCCAGCTTAAGTTCATCAAAGTTTAGAACTAGAATGAATTGAGTTTACCTGAATTTCTACTCAAGTTAAGTCATTGATTGAAAGCCAGATTTGTATTTTAATAACAAATGTCATTCTGGAGGAAAAGAAGAAAGTAAACAAAAACTCTTTTTTTTGAGTCTGTCTGGGTAAGATATATAGATAGATAGATATACTAATCCCAACATATGGTTCACACATCAAGAAAAAAAGCCACACACTTGGAGCATTCTAAAAATTTTGAACTTTCCTTTGGAATTTGGAATAATAGACATTGGAGAAATTAAAAATGGCACAAAATGACCTTCTGTATCTACCCTGCATCCTGATAATTTTCTCAATAGTTATATTTTGACTGGATGTGTTACATGCCAAGGCCAGTGTGAAAAACATTAGAGAAAGCAATGATTTCTTGGCAATAGATCCATAAAAACATGAACCCAATTGATTTCCATTAAAACAGTAATTGGAGAAGACATCACAAAGAATTCTAGTGCAGTACATAGTTTTCTTAACTTTATTTGTTTGACTACAGTCATATTGTTTGTTTGTTTTGTGCCTATTTCATTAAGCCAGTTACAGTCATGTTGTTGTGTGGTCTTCCTGTCACTAAAGTCAATATACAGCCAGTCTAACTCAAAGAACTTCAATGATCACCTGTTTGGTGGGGTCAGGGCCACAGTAACAATATCAATGTGCAAACCAGTAGAGAACTGGTAGAAAGGTTTTGTAGCATGTGACAAACCATTTGCCTATAAGACAATGTAATTAGGAGTCCTGGTTATTTTGTAAATTTCAGCAAAGATTCCCCAAAGCATTGCATATCCATCTGTCCCATGACTTCATCTGCAGCAGACCGATGGGCTAGGCTCTGTGGAATCCTTTATTGAACACGCCAAGAAGTAAATTGAAGCTCTGTTTTTCCTGGGAAATTCTTATTCTGACACTGAAGCATTTCAAAATGTACGTGACAGACAGACAGACATTGAGAAAAGTGTCTAGGAAGAAGTATTTGGTGGTTAAACTGCGTGGATTCACATCCTGACTGCCCTTACTAGCGCCTCTGTACCTGTTTCCTCATCCGTGGAATGGAGAGTCTTACTTCATAGGATTCACATTAGAATCTAGGGAAGAGATTTCCTATAAAGGTCTTTGTGTATAGTAAGCAGCAAGCTGCTAAATCTCTCCTAGCACCAATTCCTTATCTGCAATATAGCGATGATAGCAGCAATAATTGGATCTTCTTCCCAAGGTTGCTGGAGGACTGAATGGGTTAATACATGTGAACATTCAGGGAACAGCCTGGCATGTGTGAGCACTAGATAAATGTCAGTTATGATTACCATCATGCTCTTTCAGGTCGTATCCAGATGAAATTGGACCGAAGCACTGGCCAAGCTCCAGGTTCACCCATGTGATGAGGCTACGGCAGGCAGCCCTTCGAACTGCGAGGGACAAATGGTCAGACTACGTACTGGTAAAAGCAAAGTTTTGATTTATTGACGGTAGTGGTTACACTACTGCAATCGGTGTGGGCAGTAGTTAGAAATCGCCAGCAGCTCCATGGGAGACAGCCTGAGCTCTCTGCTCCTGTCAACAGCTGCAGCCTCTGAACCCCCAGGAGCTCGCTGTGAAGCAGCATTGACTCGATGGCCATGACCTTGGTTTGGGTTGGTTATCTAGAATGTGTCCAAATCAGCTGTCTACAAACGAAGATTATGGAAGCAATCCAAACTATCTGCTCGTTAGGCACCACGGCCTCCTTTTGAAATAAACGCTCAAGGGGGAAATTTGGGGAACTTAATATTGGAATATCTGGATTTCATCTCAGACCCACTCCTAATAGACATTTTCAATGAGTGACCGAAAAAGTTCCTGAATCATTTGGTCACTTTTACAAAACAGGCATTTAAAAAGGAGGTGGTGTTGGGCTGAATTGTCTTAAATTATGGGAGAATGAAGTAGATCAACAGATATAAATAATTTGAATATCTTTTTGGAATTTGGGGGGAGGTATCGGAAAATCATTATATTAAATGTGACTCCGATTAGCAGCTCCAAACTACATGTCCTTGTCTTTCCTGGGAGATTGGGAGAACGCTTTGACCTCCTGGTTTCTCTGATCTTGCTGGACTCTGGTGGAGAGTCCTTTCCGAGAGCATGAGTCTCTGTCATTCCTTAGAGACAGTCAGAAGGCACTAGACTTGCTGGTGAGCAGTTGGGGTTGTCGTGTGCTTTGGCGCTTGCTGATCCGATCGCAATTGGGAAGGATAGCTCCCTAAGCAGCTCTCAAGGAACGAAAGTCCCTTTTGTCTTTTGAAAAGTGACGGAGGCTTTATGAAAAGCAGGCTCTCTACCTGTGCCCTCATAGGTTTATTCCATTTTAGGGGACAAATGTTTGGCACTAGGCTATCTTACCAATAAAACAAAACCAACAATATTTCATTAAATTTATGGACATCCAACACTGTGGAAAGGCACTGGGCTGCTAACGCCCTGGTCGACCTTTCAAACCCACCTGCTCTCTGCAGGAGAGATGAGTCTCTCTGTTCCTGTGAAGATTGACGGTCTCTGAAAATCAATATCAGGTTGTCTGGAGTAAGAATCAACTTGATGGCAGTGGGTTTCTTTCTGTTTACATTCTGTCACTGAAGCTGCCAGTTTATAGAGGTATTTATTTTAACCTGTATCTCTATCCAGCCCCTCAACAACAACAAAAATCAGCACAATGTATTGTTATGCATTTAACAAAACTAATTTCATAAATGTCTTCAAATTTTACTGATAATATTTAACATCATATAACTCAAAGTAAGGAGACTGCTGCAAAGATCTATTAATAATTGGAACTTGGAATGTACCAAGTATGAATCTAGGAAAATTGGAAGTTGTCACAAATTAAATGGAATGCATAAAGATTGATACCCTAAGCATTAGTGAGGTGAAATTGACCGGTATTGAACACTTTTAATCAGAAAAGCATATGGTTTTCTATGCCAAGAAAACATATTCAAGAGGAATGTTGTGCATTTGTTGTCAAAAAGGACATTTCAAGACCTATCTTGTAGTACAGTGCTGTTCATGATAGGATAACAAGGAAATTCAGTCAAGAAAACTGTTATTCAAATGTGTGCACCAACCACAAAAGCCCGTGATGAAAAAATTGAAGAATTCTACCAACACCTTCAGTGGGAAATTGCTCAGACACGTTCAAGAGACATTGATCATGTTTGGCACTCAGTATGACGAGGTTGGAAACAAAGAGGAAGGAGCAGGGGTTGGAATATATGGCCTTGGAGATAGAAAAACAGCTGGATAGCGTTTGATAAATTTTGCAAGACCAATAACTTCTTCATCTCAAATGTGTTTTTCTTCAACAACAGAAATGGTGACTGTACACACCTGCACTTCTCTAGATGAAATACACATGAATCAAATGGACGGTACAAGTCCCCCCCCGAAAAAAAAAAACACGGGTTTTCCCCAAAGCTATGCGTTAAAATTATTTTTACAAAACAACTTTATCACCTTCAAAGTACTCTCCATTATACTAAATACATTTGTCAAATCTAAATCTGTGATTCTATTCTTGGAAACATTTTTCAAACTCATCTGTATGGATGACAGCACCTCCCTCATTTTTTTATCACCTCTTCTACATCATCAAATTCCTGTCCTTTTATGTTCCTCTTCATCCACAGAAACAAAAACAAGTCACAAGGAGTGGGGTCAGGTGAGTAAAGTGCCTGGGGCAAGAGAGGCATGCTGTTTCTTTGTCAAGAACTGGTGAACGGAGATGGCTGAGTGAGCAGGTGCATTGTCATGGTGGCAAAACCAGTCCCCCATCTGCCACAAATCACAGTACTACACAATTTTCAGAACCTCTAAATAGAAAGCTTGATTAACAATCTGACCTGGTGCAAAGAACTCCAAAGGCACTATCCCCCTCACATAAAAAAAACAAAACAAAACAAATGAGCATTGGTTTTTTGTGGGGTACTCCCTCATATATGTGGTAAGAGACAATGGAGAAGCTCTATATTGTGAGCTAAAGCCAGGCCAGACGCTGACTGTGAAACATATTGTCAATTGCTCATATATAAGTACAGGTTGAAGCTGAAGACAATTAAAACAAGTCCACAAGAGCCAAAATACAACCTTATGTATATCACAACTGAATTTCAAGAGCATCTAAAACACGGGTTTGACACATTGGCAGAAGAGCTGATAAGCTGTGGGAGGACATCAAGAATATAATACACGAAGAAAGCAAAAGGTCACTAAAAAGCAGGAAAGAAAGAAATGATCAAAGAAAGAGACTCTGAAACTTGCTCTGAACCATACAGTTGCTAAGACAAATGGAAAAAATTATGAAGTCAAGTATCTAGACAGAAAATTTAAAAGGGCAGCTTGAGAAGACGAAATGCAATATTATAACAAAATGTGCAGACTTGGCACTAGAAAACCAAAATGGAGGAACACAATCAGCATATTGAAAGAACTCAAGAAAAGAATTCAAGTCTTGAGTTGCAATGTTGAAAGATTCTATGGGTAAAATATTATGATGCGGAAAGCACCAGAAGAAGATGGAATACACAGAGTACCACAAAGAACTAGTCAACATCAACCATTTCAAGAGGCAGCATATGATCAAGAAACGTGTACTGAAGAAAGAAGTCCAAGCTGCATTGAAGGTATTAACCAAAAAAAAGGCTCCAGGAATTGAAGAAAAACCAAATTTAAATGTTTCAAAAAGCTGATGAAGCACTGGAAGCACTCATTCGTTGATGTCAAGCAATTTGGAAGATAACTACTTGGCCAGCTGACTGGAAAAGATCCATATTTTTTACCCATTCCAAGGAAAGATGACCCAACTGAATGCAAAAAATACATACATAGGATGATATCATTAACATCATTAACATCACTTGCAAGTAAATTTGCTCAAAAGACCATCCAACAATGGTTGCAGAGGTACATTAACAGGAAGCTGCCAGAGATTCAGGCCAGATTCAGAAGAGGACAAGTGCTATCATTGCTGATGACATGTGGCTCTTGGCTCCAAGTAGAAAATACTAGAAAGATGTTTACTTCTGTTTCATTGACTATTCAAAGGCATTCAACAGTGTGGACCATAACAAATTTTGGATAGTGTTGAAAAGATGCAGGAATTCCAAAACAATTGTGCTTATGCAGAACCTGTACATGGGTCAAGTGGCAGTTGCATAAACAGAACCAGGGCATACCTGCATGGCTTAAAATCAGGAAAGGTGTGCATTAGGGTTCTATGTGCTCATCATACTTATTCAGTCTGAACAGATAATCAGAGAAGCTGGATTATATGAAGAAAAGTCTAACATCAAGATTGGAAGATGGCTTATTAACAATCAGTGATATGCAGATGACACAACATTCTTTGCTGACAATGAGGAGAATTTGAAGCACTTGCTGATGAAGAACAAGGATTTCAGCCTTCAGTACAGATTACAACTCAATGTAAAGAAATCCACAGTCATCATAACTGGATATCATGATAAATGGAGAAATGATTGAGTTTGTCAAGGATTTCCTCTTTCTTGGATCCACAATCAATGCTCATGGAAGCAGCAGTCACTATATCAAAAGAAACATTACATTAGGTAAATCTGATGCACAAGATCTCTGTAAAGTGTTGGAGAACCTGGATGCTATTTTGAAGACGAAGGTATGCCTGACCCAGCCATGGTATTTTAAATTGCTTCATATGCATGTGAAAGTAGGACATTTAATAAGGAAGACCGAAGAAGAATCGATCCATTGAATTATGGTGCTGGGGAAGAAGATCGAAAGAATCATGAGCTGCCAAAATCAACAAAGAAATCTGCCTTGGAAGAAGTACAGCCAGAATGATCCGTAGAAGTAAGGATGGTGAGACTTCATCTCACTTACTTGGGCCATGTTGTCAGGAGAGACCAGTCCCTGGAGAAGGACAGCATGCTTGGTAAAGTGGAGGGGCAGCAACAACAACAAAAGACCTTTGGGAAGATGAACTGACACAGTAGCTGCAGCCTTGGGCTCAAACATAAGAATCATTGTGAGGCTGGTGCAGGACGGAGCGGGGTTTAGTTCTATTGTACATGGGGTCACTATGAGTCTGAACTAACTGGACGCTACCTAGCAACAACAACGGTTTAAATACTAAGTATTTATCAAACAAAAATGTTTGGTAAACAGATTGTCATAGAATGAAACATTCTAATTATCTAATTATATATGTTGTTGTTAGGTTTATATTTTAGACATGTATGTTGTTATATATAGGATCTGTTATATACCATCTTATAAATGAATCGATGTTAATATGGACTGCAGTTAACAGGAAACCGCTTCACTGGTTAGCATAGTTTGATATAATATACTTGATACCAAACATCTTCCTGTGCCATTTAAATAGTACCAGTGCATCTATTTGGGGCTTTACTGATAATACTCTCTAAACCCTAAAAGATCTGTTTATCCAGAGTGTTTGCAGAATGGATCTTCAAGGGCTTGGGAGCCATTAGTATCTTATATTTAAACCATCAACTGAAGAGTAGACTGTCCTTTCTTGATTTGGTGCTCAAGAGGTAGCACCAGTTCATTGCTGAGTGCCTCATAAGCACTGGCCACGTGGAATTTGGTCTGCTTGGTTTTGACTAGCTGAATGGTAACCATAGCAAAAGCTCCCTAGCCTCACAGCTTTCAGGAGGGAGGACAAAGAATACCTCATGAGTTTGTGACTGTTTCAGAAATGCTGGGTGGTTTTTTGAGCCCAATACCAAAGAGTACCTGTTCACCTGACATTACCCTTTTCTTGTTCTAGTTCATAGATGTCGACAATTTCCTGACAAATCCTAAGACCCTCAGTCTTATGATTGCAGAAAACAAAACCATTGTGGCCCCCATGCTGGAATCTCGAAGCCTGTACTCTAATTTCTGGTGCGGAATCACACCTCAGGCAAGTCTTTTGGGCAACAAATTACGGCTACAAGTTTTAAAAGGGAAGCACTGTGCCTGTATTCCTTCCTTCCTCCCTTGAAGCATACATGCCATTGTGTTACTAGAGTGAGTGTTTTCACAAAAAGATGTAACTCTAGGTCTAGGACCACAATGCAATGGACTGCTGTGTATAAATGAATTGTGATGAAAATATTCTAATGAGCTTTCCCTTATAAATGTTAAATTAACTAACACAAAATACTGGAATATATATATATATTCCTCTTAATTTAAGGAGTTAGGGGGAAAAGTGGACTTTTAGTTTTATTATAAACTAACATAGAGAACAGTAGAAAGATTTTGAAATGGACAAAATAAAACAAAAATCAAGTTAATCCCCACCACTGTACCAACACCACCAGTACAGCTTGGAACATTTTTAGTAACTATGTATCATCAACCAGCTGTACTCAGCTTGAACAGTATTTAAGTTGTTTACAATTTTTAACTATTACAGCGATTATTATCAATATAAGTTTTTCTTCGTTTGAGTTTTTACATAGTATTGCCCCTCAGAGTGGAATTACTGAGTATAGATATTATTAGAACCTTTCATACATTCATCGGAGCCCTGGTGGTGCAGTGGTTACTCGTTGGGTTGTGATCTACATGGTCAGCAGTTTGAAACCACCAGCAGCTGAGAGCGGAGAAAGACTGAGTTTTCTACTTCAGTAAACCTTTACAGCCGTGGAAACCCACAGGGGGTCGCTATGAGTCAGCATTAACTGATGGAAGTGAATTTGTTTCTTTTTCTTTCTTTTTTAAATAATATATATCTAGCTATATAGCAGAGAGATAAAGCTTCCTACTCCCATAAAGATTTCCAGTCTCAGAAACCCGCAGGGGAAGTTCTACTCTGTGCCATGGGGTCTCTAGAAGTCAGAATCAAGTCAATGAGAGTGAGGGTTTTTAATTTATTTACTATATATTGCCATATTACTCTCCAAAACGTTGTAGTAATTAAAATTCCGTGAAGAGTGTGAGTTTAAAATTTTTCAATTTCTGTCCTCTCTTTTCCAAAAAGAAATCGTCAAAGCCTAAAGGTCTGTTACTGGATATACTTGCTGCTGGTTACACTCTGTGCTTTAATTAAGGAAACAAACTCACTGCCATGGAGTCAATGCCGAGTCATAGTGACCCCATAGGACAGGGCCAAATTGTTCCTGTGAGCTTCTGCTGCTGTAACTCTCTAAGGGAGTAGCCTCATCTGTCTTCAGCAGCTCAGCTGGTGATTTCAAACTGCTGATTTCAAACGCATAACCCCTACCCCACCACGGCTGGCATAGTGGTTACATGTTGGGCCGCAAGGTCAGTAGTTTCAAACCACAAGCTGCTCTGAAGAAGAAAGATGAGGCTTTCAACTCCCATAAACAGTTACAGTCTTAAACAGCCATAAGGGCTGTTCTAACCAGAGCTAGAGGGCACGATGAGCAGGAACCAACTTGATGGCAGTGGGTTTAGTTGGAGAGAAAGTTAAACTAGAGAAACCAGGATGGTAGAGAACAATGTAGGGTGCAGAGGTGCTCGCGGGGGCCGGGGGGTGGATATATTAACTGTATTTCACAGCTGAAGGCTGCAGTTTAAGTCTCTCTCATCTATTTGTCTTGGTTTGGGATGAAGAAAAGGTGCTAGTTCTGTGCTGTTCAGTGTTTAGCACCTGGTGTAAGAAACCAACAACAGCAAAAACAAAACAAAACCCCTGACTGGTAGTTTTTGCCAGTTGCCATGGTATAAATAGTCTCGCCATGACTGATTCAGGCTACCAACTCTGCATCAGTTAGCTTGGCAATGATTCTGAGGTTTTGCTTGGACATTACCAACAAGGCTGAGCTCGCCTGATGACCATATTCTAGGAAGTTTTGCTGTCTTTGCTTTTGCTTTAATCATTAAAAGCAAATAGGGAGAAATGTGCTCACATACTTTACATCATAAAAGTAAAATGAGCAATTTAGCACGTAATGCTAATTTTCTACACCTGTTTCTGACTTTCTGTTATCTACCCGCAACCAACCAATCCCCAGTTAGATTTCTGCAGGGGCAACAATAGACATGGCTGATTATTTCTTAAGTACAAGGCAGGCCCTGATCTGCAGAGCCTTTAGACACATCCTAAACAGAATTACCCCAGCGCTGTATGTTCAGAGAGCAGGCATTATGACAGATAGCATTCAGTGCATGTGGAAAAAGGACGAAAGGCCCGAAACGCACCCGTCACCTCCACCTGTCTGCAGGAGGCATGTTTCTCTGCGTTCTCTCTGCTACCCCGCCCTCACCCCCGGGGAAAGCAGTGGGTCATTATCACTATGAATTTTCTGACCTTCTCATTTGGACTGGATTCCTTAGGCAGCCAGCCCATTAAGGAGCCACACTTCCCTTTATCCATGGCCAGGCAGGATCATAAGCTGAAGGGTTACAGAGAACCCATAGAGGCAGTTACTAAATCCTTGAATTAATCACTTATAAAAATTAGAGTAATACTTTAATAAAAATTAGAATAATGATTATGTGATGAGTTGCAGTTTTCCAACTATACTAAACCGTCTCGCATGTGGCCATAGATCTAATAACGTTATTCTGTGAGATCGATAAAGTAGCTGGTATCCCCTTTTTCAGAAAAGGACACCGAGACTCAAAGAGCACACAGCTGTAAGGGTGTTAAGATAGCTCTTAAACTCACATCTTGGTCTTAGTTTGTGACCCTTCTACCTTATCATGAGGTCAGTGTTAGGGTTAACTCAGCTAGAACACTATTGGAGACACTGGTGTAACACAACAAAAACGAGAAGAAACAACACCAACCATCTATTAGTACTCAGAATATTGGAAAGGGGAGTCATCAAAGTGAAATCAAACACTTAAAAATCAATATTTTAGGCATTAGTGAGCCAAAATGGACCGATATCAGCACTTTAAGTTGGACATTCACTTGGTCTGTGCTAAAAATAACAAATTTAGATGGAAAGTGCCACACTCATTGTCAAAAAGAGAATTTAAAGATATTCCCTGCAGTCTAATGCTGTCGTTGATAGGATAATATACATACACCTACAAGGAAGAACAGTTAATATGATTATTATTCAAATTTATTCACAAACTATTGATGTCAGAGATTCAAAAGTTGAAGCTTTTTTTTTTTTTAACCAACTTTCTCAGTCTGAGATTGAGCAGACATGCAAACAAGATGCACGAATAATTATTGGTGATTGCAATGTGAAAGTTGGAAACAAAAAGGATCAGTAGTTGGAAAATAGGACCTTGGTGATGGAAATGACATTGAAGATTATAGAATTTTGAAAGACCAACTTATTAATTACAAATACCTTTTCAACAATATAGTGACTAGACACATACACCTCACCAGGTGGAATAAACAGGAATTGAATCAACTACAGCTTTGGAAAGAGACAATGGAAAAGCTCAATATCATCACTTAGAACAAGCCCAGAGGCCGACAATTGCTCATATGCAAGTGCAAGTTGAAACCGAAGAAACTTGAAACAAGTCCAGAAGAGCCAAAGTACACCCTGGAGTTTCCCATCTGAATGTAGAGACCGCCTAAAGAACAGATTAGACACATTGACACCAAAGACATCACACATGAGCTAAACAAGCATCATGAAAGTAACAGGTTAGAAATTACCAAAGTAGATGTCCAAAGACACTCGAAGACTTGCTCTTGAATGTAGACTAGCTAAAGCAAATGGAAGAGATTATAAAGTAAAAGAGATAAGCAGACCATTGCAAACCGCAGCCTGAGAAGACACAATAAAGTTTTCAAAGAAATGTGCAAAGACCTGAATCAGAAAAGCAAAAAGTTAAATAATGCCCGGCATTTGTTAAATGGAAAAATTGAAGAAGAAAAAATTAGCCACGAGTTCCAATAGTGAAGGATTCTAGGGAAAAAACTCACTCACTCATTGCCTTCAAGCTGATTCTGACTCCCAGTGAACTTCTAGGACAGAATAGAGCTGCTGCCTGTACGGGTTTCTGAGATTGTAACTCTTTGTCTTTCTCCAGAGGAGCAGGTGGTGGTTTCGAACTGCTTAACATGTGATTAGCAGTCCAACATGTAACCACTATGCCCACCATCGAGTCACTGAACTGACTCGCTGGCACCTAACAACAACAACAGCAACATGGGCAAATGTTGACAACAGGAGGCATCAAAAGAAGGTGCAAAGATCATGACCCTCCATGAAAAAGACCAGATGGTTCCTGGATACCACTGACAGCCCCTTTGAAAGGGATAAGAGGAGATCCTAAATCGAGTGGGGAAAAGTGTGGGAACAGACCTCAAGATCATAAAAATATCACCCTTTTTGATCTGATAGAGACTGGTAGAACCCCTGAGACTTGTGTTAGTCACTCTTCAGCCTAGAACTGAACTCATCCCTATGACTCAAATTTGAGCCCAAGTATAGGCAGGTCTGTAAGACAAATAGTAGCCCAAGGGAGGTGCACTGTCCTTAGAACAATCACTAATAGAAGACCTAAAGCAGTGGTTCTCAACCTTCCTAATGCCGCGACGCGACCCTTTCATACAGTTCCTCATGTGACGGTGACCCCCAACCATAACATTATTTTCATTGCTACTTCATAACTGTCATTTTGCTACCGTTATGAATTAGGTGACCCCTGTGAAAGGTCGTTTGACCCCCCCAAAAGGGGTCGCAACCCACAGGTTGAGAACTGCTGACCTAAAGGGTAGCCTAGGGCTAAAGCTTAGAAGGTGGGAAGAGACAGAGGAGAATAAAGAACGGTAATAGTAAATATGGAGGAAGTGGGAAGAATGCTGGTATATTGTGGGGGTTGCAATCAATGTCACAAACCAAATGTGTCTGAATTGTGAACTGGAAAGACATTTTTTTCTGTATACTTGCACCCAATAGCAATAAAATGTTTTCAAAAGCGACTTTTAAAAAGAAGATGAAAGGAATATACGGAGTCATTGTGCTGTGTAGAATTGGTAGATGTTCAACCATTTCAGGAGGTAAAATATGATCAAGAAGCAGTTGTATTAAAGGACAAAGTGCAACGAAGGCATTGTGAAAATGCGCTTCTGGGAACCGACAGACTCCCATCTGAGGTATTTCCACAGGTGGGTGCAACCCACTGTCTGTGTCCATGAATTTGAAAGACAGTTATCCGGGCAACCTCCTGGAAGAGGGCTGTATTTGTGTCCATTCCAAAATCATTGAATAATAATATTATTATCATGCGCAAGTAAAGTTTTGTTGAAGATAATTTTAAAAGGCAACATTATATTGACTAAAAAGATGTCAGAAATTCAAGCCAGTTTCAGAAGCAGATGGGGAATGAGGGATATCACTACTGATATCACACAGATCTTGGCTGAAAGCAAAGACTATCCATGTGCTTTATTGAATATGATAAAGCATTCATTCAATTGTGTGGATCATTTTTTAAATGTATGATAACATTGTGAAGAATGGGAATTCTAGAACACTTAATGTGCACATTCATATAGATCAACTACAAGAACATAGACCAAGAGACAATTGTTCAAACAAAACGGAATGGTTTAAAATCAGGAAAGGTATGCATGTATTAAAGTAGCATCCTTTCAGCATACTTATTTAGTCTGTTGAGCTAAAGTAATCTGAGAAGCTGGACTATATGAAGAAGAATGTGGCATCAGGATTGGAGGAAACTCATTAACAACTTATGCAGATGACACACCTTGCTTGCTGGAAAAGAGAGGACAAATTCTTATGATTAAGATCAAAGATTTCAGCATGGATTCCACGTCAACATAATGGAAACAAAAAGCCTTCCAACTGGACCAATCAGCAAACAGATTTCATTTCACTTGGATCCACAATAAGCACCCATGGCAACGCTTGTCAAGAACTCATCAACTCATCGCCTGGGGCAAACCTGCTGAACAAGACCTCTCAAGAGTCTTTAAGAGGGCAATGTCACGATGAAGGCTGAAGGGCACGGGGCCTGAGCCATAGTATCTTCAGTTGCCTCATATGCATACAAAAGTGGGACAAGGGAATCGGGAAGACTAAAGAAGAATCCATGCATTTCAATGGTGTTGTTGGCCAAGAATATTGAATAATACGATGGTCTGCCAGTAAAAGGGGAAAAAAAATCTGTGTTGTAAAGGTAGAGCCAGAATGTTTCTTAGAAGTGAGGATGGCAAGACTTCATCTCAGGTTCTCTGAACCTGTTGTCAGAAGCAACCAGCTCTTGGAGAACTTCCTGGTTGGTAAAGCAGAGGGGCAGGACAAGAAAGGAAGAGCCTCAGTGAGATGGATGGACAGAGTGGCTGCAACAACGACTGGCTTCCAGATCAACGATCGCGAGGGCGGTGCGGGACCATGTAAGGTTTTGTTCTGTTGTACACAGGTTCACTGTGAGTCAGAGCCCACTAGACGATGTCTGACAACAACAACAGCCTTATTTAATCTTCGCAGACACAACCTCAGAGAGCAGCGTTACCCTCCTACATTTAGAGATGGGGAAAGAGCCCCAGCAAGGTGGAGTTGGCTTTTCAATTAATGGCTAAGGTTGGATTTGCGTTCAGGCAGTTTGGCATCAAAGTGATGTTCTTCACCACTCTTCCCCTAAGGGAGTGATTGGAGTCCCTGAGTAGAGCGAACAGCCAAGTGCTTGACTGCTTGTGGAAAGGCTGACAATTTGAACCCGCCCGACAGCCTGGCCAGCTAGGTCTGTTCATCTGCCTCTTGAAACCCTGCGGAGAAGTTCTAACTCTGTCCTAAGTCAAACTCTGCTGGGCAGCAACTAGCAGTAAAAACCATGTATTCGTATTCCATTTTCAATCTTCAATTAACGTGAAATAAATTCTTATGTCATTATTAAATCAGCTACACAGAAACAGAAGTCATTTCTGAAATCAAGATCCTTGACTGTTGTTTTGTAAGTAGAGAGCATTTCATGAGCTCAACTGAAAAGTCCTAGGGCCAAAGAAGAGAGTTGAAGTGGTTTTGTTTCCATCACTGGGCGACGGCTTAGGAAGAATCAGCCTAGATGATGACTGGGAGTGAGGCAGCCCTCTGGTCAAAGAGTGTAGCCAGCTACCTTACTCTCTTACAGGGCTTCTATAAGCGGACCCCAGACTACCTTCAGATTAGAGAATGGAAGAGGACAGGCTGCTTTCCTGTCCCTATGGTCCACTCCACGTTCCTCATTGATCTCAGGAAGGCGGCCTCGGACAAGCTGGTCTTCTACCCCCCACACCAGGACTACACCTGGACCTTTGACGACATCATTGTCTTTGCCTTCTCCAGCAGGCAAGCAGGTACTGTTTGGGTTTGGGTCTTACTGCCTCCGTGGAAACACAACAGATAACCAGTTCCATTGTTTTGCGCACTTTATCAGAAAACCTCTGTTTAAGGAGATGCACTTCCTTTGCAGGCAGTGTTAGAGGCACTCAGTTTTCTACTGTAACCATACCTGTAAGCTCTCTGCTGTTCCACTGGGACACCAGTGACCAAGAGCCAGGACAAGGGATTCACCGTCTTTGGGGGAGCGGAGAGACCAGGCACAGGGAGAAATAAGTCATGGGGAGGTGACTGGTTTTCTTTGGGGCTACTGAAATGCTGCTGTTTATGATGGGAGTCCCCAAACAAAATTGGTAAAGAGCTCAATTGAAATTTATTTCTTCTCAAAAAAGTATGGGGCTCTGAACCACACAGTCAGAGACTCAGGCCTCTTCTATATTGCTGTTGAATCTATTTTTAATTCAAACAACTCCATGCGACAGAGTTGACATTTCTTAGGCTGCCCGTAGAGTTTCCTAGGCTGTCCATAGAGTTTCCTAAGCTGTTGTGTTAGACAGGGTTCCCTAGAGAGATAAAGCCAGATTGCTGATAATTTTATATATATTTATAAAGATAGATATATATAACACAAGAAATGAACTGTTAAATTATAAACAGATAGATAGATATATAACACAAGTAATGAACTGTTAAACTATAAACAGATAGATAGATATATAATACAAGAAATGAACAGTTAAATTATAAAGCAGTACAAATGGCTCAGTGCAACTTACTCCCATGAGAGAGTTGTGAGACACTGGAAGTCCGTCAAGTCTTGAGGGCCGGCCGGTAGTCCTCTCTAGAGAGAGAGCTAGGCTATCCCAGCACAGGCAGCAAAGCAGCCAAGCAGGTCACTAACTGTCAGCCAGGTCACCAACTGTCAGCCAGGTCACCGACTGTCAGTCCTCAACTCCAGAGATGTAAATTTCAATCATGTGGTCTTAAAGGGACCTCAACTTACAGCAACACAGTCCACAGGCTAAGCGTCCCACAGGTAGTGTAGCCTGTAAATTGAGGCACAGAACAAGCAAGGCAGCCACACAGTGTTCTGATGATCAAAGAGTGACAGACAAGAAAGGTGAGGCTCACCGAGCCATTTATCTGTCCACCCTTCAATTAATCCCACTTGTGTTTATCGGCCAGGCTGGCACAATAAAGTAACTATCTCAGCTGTCCCTAGAGTTTCTTAGGCTGTCCATTTTTGGGGATCAAATCTCCAGGGTTTTTTTCCCATGAAGCTACTGGGTGGGTTCAATCTGCCGACCTTTGGGTTAGCAGCTAAGCATTAACTGCTGTACCACCAGCACTCCTCTATCATGTATGTGTATATTAATATGTATAACACCATATTTATATATAAGTACTATATGTGTAATGTCTAGATGCATTTTTATACACATACCTATATACACAGAGAGGTTTATCTTAAGGAATTGGCTCATTTATTGCAGGAGACTGGAAAGTTCCACTCTGTAAGTCAAGTGACAGGCTGGAAATTCCTGCACTATTGTGCCCCAAATCCTTAGGTCAGGAAGGCTAAAGATGAGGAGTTCTGAAAAGGTATCTACTTGTATCTATAGGTGGAACACAGCTTTTACACGCTAATGGCCTCTAGGCAATTGGGTGAGGCCCAAACACATTATGGAATTTTTACTTAAGGCCAACTGATTTAATTTTGTACAACAGAAATTTAACTCATGTTTGGCCAAGCAACTGGGCACCCTCGCCTAGCCAAGTGGATGCATAATATCAGCCACCACAAGGGAAACCCCTGTCACTACCATGACTACCCTGGTGACTGGACGTCTGGTGCTAAGAGAGGCTCAGCATGCCCTCTCTATCCCACGCAGTCTCGGGCCTCCCTCCCATCACTGCAGAAGAAGGAAAGAGCGGTGTCTCTGCCGTACGCCCCAAGGTCAGGCTTCAGTCGGAGCTGATGCGCACACATTTCCAGGGGAGGATGGACTTTCAGAGAAAGATGAGTCCCTTGGAAAGGCTTTTTCTCACATTTCACATGTAGTCAAAGCCAAAAACCAAACTCACTGCCATCGAGTCGATTCCAGCTCATAGCAACCCTCAAGGAGGACACAATTCACTGAAACAGTTCAAGAGAAACACCTGCAGCCCTACAGGAAAACGTGATACTCTGTGTAGTGCAGACCCTCCTGACAGAATCGAATCTCATGACCAATGTGCTGGAAGCTTAGCCAGTAGCAGAACTGGGTGTAGAAACAGCCACCACCAAAGAAGAAGAAGAAGAAACGCAGGGCCACCGTATAGTTAGGGTGTAAGAAATCATACAAAGACCCCAGGTAATTAAGGCAGGTTGTTGGCAGCTGGAGCTGTTCATAGAAATTCAAGCTACAGCTCACTCAGCAAAGGCCATCCCAGAGCGGAGGTGTCCTCCCTCTCAGAGTTACATTTGCTAGAAATGAGCGTAGACGGTGGGAACCTGGAAGGCTGCTTTTCCCCCATGGCTGCTACAGTGACTTAGACCCTTTGGCCGAGTGTTGACATGTTTTAGGCCTTGGGCCAGGACAAAAGCAAGGTTCTTACTCTCAGGTGGGTTGGAAGGGTTCCTGAAGGTGCTGGCATGGGCGTGAATGGAAGTCGCGTCTTTCAGCTCAGTCGGTGATTTGTTCTGACTTCTCCAGGACAGGAAGCAGAGTTAGGCCTTCTCCTTCCTTCAGGTTGTGCCAGGCCCTCGGTTCAGCGCTTGAAGTGACAATGCTCAGGAAGGTGGGCTGTTCACAACCACCGTCACGGTCACTGCCCAACAGTCTCCCTTTTATGTCGTTGCACAAAGGATTATTGTGATACACACACACTACATGATCAGGATTTTCTTTTTAGCCAGTAATTGGATATTTGGGCTAGAAAATTGACACAGGCTGGGCAGGGTTTTTTCAGCTCTGCCCTCACCTGTTTACCAAGACTTCATGCTTTATTGGCCAGACTTTCCACAGGCCTTTCTGGAACATTGAAAGTGGCTACCTTCCAGGATGGTGATTCAGTTGTGAGAAGAGAGAAAGAAGATGAAGGAGAGAATCAACCCCTAAGTCTGTACTTTGGTGTCTAGTGCCGTGTTCGACTCTTGGTTAGCTGAGCAGAGAGTGACCTCCCTTGTGGAAACAACTAGCAGGCTAACACATGGAAAGCCAAGGACCAGATCAGGGGTGCAGCCTGGGACCGGGACCAGAATCATGGCAGGGAGTAGTCACTGTCATTTGATAGAATGAGCCAGCCTTCCTGACAGTGAGGTGGTTCCATGGTAGTCATTTTATGCATCTTGAAGTATTTTCAGGAGAGACTTGGATGAGCCTGGGAGTCATGTTCAGCCTGAATATCTCTTGGATGTTCTCCTTTTGGGTCCAAAACAAGCATTTTCCCTTTCCTTTGAGATTCTTGATGGAAGATGACAAACGCCTTTGTTTCCAGTCTTACAAAATTCCCTAGCTGTGCATCCTCCATTGAATATGATTTTTAAAGTACCCCAGAGGAAATAAGGGTCTGCATGTCTCTGATAGGACCACCTCACCACAAATCGCGGACCTTAACCTTTCACCTCAGACGGATGGCCATTATCACATATGGGTGACAAGTGAAGGGGCAGCTACAGCGTGCTGATTCGCTGGAACTTACTAACGCAATAGAAGAGAGCATCAATCCTGGAAGGTCCCTGTGGCTGTTATAGAGATGGAGGAAAGCATTCACACCCTATTATGACCAGTGGTGCTGACTTTACATCAGCTCCACCATTAATATCCCCAGTGTCGGCAGTCACCCTCCAGATGACTCCTGGGCGATCAAAGGAGGCAAGAGCTGGGGTTTGCATTTGACCCGAGTCACCAGTCACCGTTTCTCTGAGCTTAACTTTCACCACCGTCAGTCTACAGTGTTAGAGTTCTATGTGGGCTCAAGGAAGTGTTTGTATCTTCAACAGAGAAGCACTTTCCTTCGAAGCATATGATCCTTCGTAACTGGAACGTTGTTTTTCTATCAGCAACTTTTTATGTGTGAGCATCTGGTTCCTCTGTACAGTTTCTCTCATTATAAAAACACTTCTCTTTGACACCACGCTCACCTGCCATACTCTCCTCTACCTTCTCTGCTCGTCTGCTCCTCCTCGCCCACCATGGCCACCATTGAGCAGTTCGTGGGAAGACGGCGCCTGGTAGACAGCAAAGGCTGTGATGAATACATGAAGGAACTAGGAGTGGGAATGGCTCTTCGAAAAATGGGTGCAATGGCCAAGCCTGACTGTGTCATCACTGATGAGGGCAAAACCCTCACCGTGAAAACGGAGAGCGCTTTGAAAAGCGCACCGACTTCTTGTAAGCCGGGAGAAAAGTTTGAAGAAACCACAGCTGACGGCAGAAAGAAAAACTCAGACCGTCTGCAACTTCAGATGGTGCTTTGGTCCAAGCCCAGGAGTGGGATGGGAAGGAGAACACAATAACAGAGCATTGGCAAATGGAAGAGTAGCGGTGGAATGCGTTATGAGCAATGTCACCTGTACTCGGACCTATGAAAAAGTAGAATAAAAATTCCATCTCAAGCAGCTCAGTCTGGCATATATTTGGGGGAGACAACTTGGGAGAAATCCTTCTGTTTCCCATGGTGTCTTTCTCACGTTTTCCTCCTGCTGATTTGCAACAGGTTGTGAAATAGATTGCCTTTTGTTCTTGTTATGACGCCATTACAGAAGCTTCATCTCTGTTGCTCGGCCCCAAGTCTAGGCTTTTGAAGAGAAGGGATAAAAGACACACAGACTCAAAGACATTTTAAATTTCCTCTGTTTTTATCCTTGGTTCTCTAGATGCCTAGATCTGGCTTGACTAATCTGCCAGGCTTTTCCTGTTTGCTTTCATATCAAATGTGGATTCCATTCCTTATTTTCTCCTGATTTCCTGTAGGTGGATTAGGGTTCCATCCCGCTCCCCTCCCAGGAACAGAAATTCCTTGCCTCCCTTTTGATCCCTCTGGGCCTTGCGTGTTCATTTTGGGCCAGCTGCGTGCTTCTTCCTCAGAGAGAAAAGCTCCCTTTCCTAGGAGTGGAAGAATGGCCCGGTGCTTTTATTAGCCTCTGAATGCCCTGTTTTACTTTCTTAATTGAGAGAGGATTTTTGAGGTGTACATTCAGTACTTGGAACAACCCATGCTCTGTTTCGGTGTCAGACTCACGTCTCCTTTCCCTCAATGGCGGCAGAACAAATGGTGTTTTCTGATTAGTCCGCCTTGCCCCTCTCGTTGTCCGCAGGCATCCAGATGTACCTCTGCAACAGAGAGCACTATGGCTACGTGCCTGTCCCCCTGAAGCCGCACCAGACTCTGCAGGAGGACATCGAGAGCCTCATCCACGTGCAGATAGAAGCCATGAGTAAGTGGGGTGGGGGAGGGCGCATGGCCGCTCATACTCCACTGCAGTAGCCACTTCTCCCTTGGTCGTGCTGAGGCCTCACCCCTAGCAGGCTGCCTTCCTTCCTTCATTCTTTCCTTCAGTATTTTCAATGGGAGTTTCAACGGGAGCATGATAAGGCCTTTGACCTCGGAAGGGCAGCCAAACCTCTAGCTCAGGGGTCCAACCCACCAGCCACTCTTTGGAAGAAGATGAGGCTGTCTGTCTGCTCCTGTCAAGATGTCAGAGTTAGACATCCTAAGGAACAGTTCGAGCCTGTGCTATTGGGTCCCATAAGTCAATAACGCAATGACGCCATGGCTATGGGTGGGTTGCCCTCAGGCGAACTGACACAAGTACACAAGTAAATACTTACCACAAATATGATGGTCCTATACTTGTGCTTTGTAGATTGAAAGCCTGACTCTCTTTCTTTCTAATAACATGAACTGGGGGGGCAAGTGACTTGATCTCCTTAGTTGTGAATGGAGATCATGATGCCCCACAAGGTAAGCAAAAAATAAATAAATAACAATGATTTCAATCTAATAATAACTTATGATCTAACTTATACGATACCATGCACTTTTTGTACTTTTGTTTCATTAATCATTACACTGACCCCATATGGGAGCTTATTATTTCCATATGCAAGGTGGAGAAACGCGTGCAGAGGTGACGTCATTTGCCCTGGATCATTCCACAGTGCAGGTGACCAGTGAGATTCGAGCTGTCCTGCTCTCTCCAAAGCGCCTGTCCTTAAACATTGTATCATTACTGCCTCTGGATCCAGTGTGACAAAATCTCAATAATAAGAAGCCATATTTGCTATTATCTGTAATGTTGCAATAATTGCACAGGGAGAAAGTAACTGATTCCCTTTGTCATGGGAGGGTGTCAGGCAGAGCTTCCAGAAGAAAGAGCGATTGTATTAAATAGCCACACGGCATTTGAAAAGTTATGTTATTCTTCACTGCAGCGTAAGATAGGCCTGTGGGCAGTGCGAATGGTTGGAGAGGCCCGGTGGCGTGTGGAGCTGGACAATGGATAGGGTTTCAGCCAGCAGGACCTCTAATGTATAAGAAGGTATTTGTTAAACATATGCTATGTTCCATGTATTCTTCAGGATGCTGGGGATGTGGCAGTGAACGAAATTGAGTGCCTGCCCTCAAGGAATATATATATATATTAACTGAAGGAGATGGAAAATATAATAAGGAGGCAGCCATGTGAATATGTGGGAGGCAGTGGATCCAAGCAACAGGAACAGCACATGCAAAGACAAGAAGGGGCCTCAGAGTTCGTGGAGCAAAAGACCAATGGGATTGGGGTGGAGAGGATGAGTGGAGAGGCGAGAGATGAGGTCATGGAAGAAGAGCTCAGCCATGCACAACCTTTTAGGCCGTGATGAGGAATTTGGATTTTATTATGAGGATAATGAGACTCCATTAGGAATTGGTATGACACAAGTGACGCACTTGGGAAGATTACTCAGTCTGGGTGTGGTTGTTAGAGTGCAGAGGACATGGAGGAGGAGAGTAAACAGTGTGTTTCCCTGGAAACAGATAACGTCATTTGGATGCATACTGTAGCATCCATAGGTGGTAGGGAGGTAGGGTAATGGAGAAAGCGTATACTTTTTATGGTAGAGTCAACAAGACTTAAAGAGATGTGAATAATTTTTTAACTCACTGCCATTGAGTCAATTCTGACTCATAGTGACCCTATAAGACAGGGTAGAACTGCGTATGTGGGTTTCCCAGATGGTAACTGTTTCTGGGAACCGAAAACCTCATAATTCTTCCACAGAGCAGCTTGTGGCTTCAAACTGCTGACCTTGCAATTAGCAACCCAATGTGTAATCACTCCTTCAACAGGGCTCCCAAAGATATATGGATATAATCCACAAGATGAAGAAATGAATCAAGAATGAATCCAACATTTAGACCCTTGTATACCATTCACTGCAGTGGAGAAGGCTTCGTGGCGGGTGATAGGAGGCGGAAGTTTTGGTCTTGTCAAGCTTAAGATCCTCATGACGTATCTGAATTGAGAGATTGGAAGACTGTTGACTATCTGAATCTAGCATTCAGGGGAGAGGATCCAGCTACATACATTTGAGGGTCACTAACAGAGGATATTTGAAACCATGAAACCGAGTCAATTCATGTAATAAGATACCTTAGAGAAGACGAGAAAGAGAAAGACAATATCCCTTGTGGGTAGAAATGGCCACAAAGCTAGAGGACAAGGAGGCAAGTAGATTGGTACAACAATTTAAAGAAATGTCTCGAGAAGGAGCTACATGCTGCAGAAAAATCGATAGGCTGAGCGCAGAGAATAGATGATTGATTCCTTCGATGTAAAGATTGGTGACGGCCGTTTAAAGAGCTCTTTCAGTGCAACAGTGGGGACAGACAGAAGACCATTGGAGTGGGTCCACCAAGAGACTGGAGAGATGATGTGACATGTGAGGGGGCCAGAGAAAAGGGTGCAGGGATAGGGGATGAGTGGCCCAGGACGAGAGCTTTTTGTTTGTCTTTGGCACCGGGATCTTCCAGCATGGCTACTTGCTAATGCAAAGGGTCCAATATACTCGCTTAAGGTGTCGCCCTTTTATCCTTCAAAATCCTCATCCCTCTTGAAGCAGGTGTTAGCGTCCCTCTCGCTAATCAGGACCCCGCAGTCGCTGATGGCTCCAGCCCTGGATCAAGTCGTATCACTGCCATCACTGATTGCCCTGACCGGCTGTTGTCTACTGTCTACTCCGAACACTGAAGGGGAAGCATGTCCTAATAGCAAGCCCAATTTTCCTTAAAACAAAACAAAAAGTGACAAGACAATCATAAGAATAAATGTTAGGCCACTGGGAAGTTTGTAATTGGCAGGCCACAGTTTCAGAGCACAGACTGGAGGAGTTTGTCTGGGGTGTGAGACCTAGAGTCTAGCACTCACAGAGAGCACGCTGCCCTTCGCTGTCCGTGCACCAAGTCATTCAGAACTCTAGAAGACACCCAGAGAATTGGGGGCGGGGTGGGGGTGGGTGGGAGCTGGCATGCTCTCATTGTCAGGAGATTAGTGCCTAAAAAGGTGGTAAATGGGGTGTGAGGCATGAGCACATTGGTCGTGCCTGCCATAGCACAAGGCGACGAGCACTCTCAGGTGGCTGTTCTCGGAAATGGTGTTTGGAGGCAGGCAAAGGTCATTAAGGTGAGTGGATCTGAAGCCTGTGAAGGGCTAAGCCACATTCCAGCTCTGCCGCTTGCATGGTATTTGACCTGGGCAAGTCTACTTCTGAGTTGGCCTCAGTTTCAGTTTGTTTAATGAAGATAAAATCTGGTGAATACAAAGCCCTGACCAAATAGAAAGCACTTTTAAATGTGTACTATCTGATATGTGACTGTCATGGTGAAGGTCAGTGCTGTGCTTGAGGAAGTTTCTCTTGACCACCGTGTACAAGACGAGTAACAATGAAGCGAGACTTGGAGCAGGAGAATTAAATCTTGAGTCAGACGTGGCAGGAGAGGACTGAAGCACTAGGGTGGGGGCCACAGCAATGGAAATGGGTGGGGATGGGGGGAAAGGAGAAGCTATGAAGAACAAGTATTAGGATTCAGCCCAAGTATTCTCTTGTAAATCCTGTCTGAACACCACTGGGCTGGTGCCCTGTACACTGGACGGCGTGGAGACCACAGAGGAAGCAGCAGCCAGAGTTGGTCACCCAGAAACAAGGACATAGCGAACTGAGCCAGTGTGAACCTCGTCCATTTGCTCAAAGCCAGTGGGATGCCATGGTTACCAAGAGCTAGTTTTGTTGTTTTGTTTTTGTTTTTGAGGCAGAGTGCATCAGGGAAGGAACCCTGGTAGTGTGGTGGATTCTACATTGAACTGCTAACTCACTGCAGGGTCAGCAGTTCAAAACCACCAGTCATTCTTCAGGGGAAAAATGAGGCTGTCAGCTCCCAGAGATTTAAGTCTCAGAAACACAGAGGAGTGGTTCTCTTCGCCCTGCCCTTTAGGGTTGTTGGGAGTCTGAATTGACTCAGTGGCAGTGAGGGCAGGTTTCTTTTGTGGATAAGCTTAGATTTCATGAGCTTAGCTTCAGGGAGTCAGACCCCCAGGTTCAGGGCGTTCAAACCCCAACTCCACCAACTCTGTGTCCTTGAGCAAATTATTTACCCATGATGCATTTTGTAAAAATTAAGCAAATGTGATTATAGCAGCCATGCCACATTTGATTGGCCTTGTATTAATTGTCATTCACAGATACTATGTATTTTACAAATCGAAGGTTTGCCACAAACCTTTGTCAAGCAAGTCTATTCCTGCCTTTTAAAAATTTCAACAGCATATGTTCCCTTCAAGTTTCTGTGTCACAAATCTCACAACATTTCAAACGTTTTCATCATGCTATTGTACAGTTAGCAGACTACAGTATACATAACTCTTAGGTGCACTGGAAAACCAAACCATCCACGAGACTGGCTTTATTTCGATTCTGTCTTTATGAAAGTAGTTTGGATGGAACACACAGTATCGAGTATAGCCCAGAAGTCAGTGAGTGATGAAATCTCTATAATAATTGCTGTTGTTATTCCTGGATGATGCCATTGGTTTTCATACCAGATGATAACCAAAAGGTTGGAGGTTCAAGTCTCCACTGAGGCTTCTTGGAAAAAAGGGCAGGTGATCTACTTCTGAAAATCCAGCCACTGGAAACTCTGTGGGGCCTGGTTATTCAGACATTCATGGAGAGGAGAGACCAACTGAACAACAACTGTTTCACGCCTATTGCTACTTCTTGGAGTTAATGAAGCCTGGTGTTCCAAATGGTGATGTAGGTGGAAGCCAAGAGACAGTAACAGGAGTAATGGTTCCCTAGGGGTACAGGAAGAGAGAGGTAGGGGGAGGAGAGGAAATGGGAGCTAACAGCACTGATGATTGTATAACCTCACCCGATGGGATTGAACAACAGAATTGTATATGAATAGATATATTGGAATGTGTAAGATTTATCAATAAACGGGATGGACAACAGAAAAGTTGGTGAAGGGGATATCAGTCAGTATAAGACATGAAAACATAATCATAATTTATAAATTATCAAGGGTTCATGAAGGAGGGAGGGAAGGGGAGGGAGAGGGGAAAACGAGGAGCTGATACCAAGGGCTCAAGTGGAAAGAAAATGTCTTGAGAATGATGATGACAACATGTGGACAAATGTACTTGACACACCAGTTGTATGTCTGGATTGTCATAAGAGCTGTACGAGCCCCCAATAGAATGATCTAAAAAAATAGTTTAAAAAATTTCCCAATTTGAAAAAATGATAATGTAGGGAGACGGTATGTGTACATTCAATGAGAGAATCACAAGCTGATGCTGAGGTACACCTCATTTTAGAACTGGACATCACCAAAGACACATCTCCACCCAAAGCCCTGCTCCTCCTCCCATCCTCCTCCCTCACCCCTGCCCCACAGAGTCTCTCAGATCTGACCTGCATCGCCTTCCTGAGCTCCTCTCCAGCCACACTGTCTAAGGTACTTGCACAGCGGTGGCTTTCTGCAGCCAATCACTGTGCTTTTCCAGGACAACTGTACTGGGCCACCAGGAGGATGGTGAGGGCACTCGGAATACAGGCCCCGGAGCCAGAGCCAGACTGCTCTTAAACAACATTTGAACAGGAAGGAGTTTACCCAGCACGCTTCTTTCTCTTAACAGGCTGAACCTGCACACAATGTGTCCTCAACTGACTGCTGGTTGGTTTTAGCAGAAGTGAACAATGGAGTGAAGCAGAAAAGGACAAAAATATTATGAGCATGCATTGTGTGGTTGTGCCTTGTAAGGGCTGATTTGAAGTACTGCAGCTCACACTCTTTATATTTTACAATTTTATATCATTTCATCATAAACCAGATGCAATGGTTTCTTTTGAAAATCTCGGTGAAGGCTGAGTCCAGGGCTGCTGCACCAACTTATGCTAGGATATCCAACAGTCCCCAGGTCTCACTGGCTTATATAACAGGTTTTCTTCTTGCCCCGTATCTCTCCTGAGAAGCTGCCCTGGACATTCCAGGCTGCTTCAGATCTGTGTCTTCTCCATTACCCAATGTGCACCTGTGATCATCAGGTGAAGCAGGTTCAGAGAAGAAGAGTTTGGAGAGCTGAGTGGCAGCAACTAAATTTTGTCGCAGCAGATCAAGTGGACAGGACTACCTTCCAGGGTAGGGGGAGAGATCCTCTCAAATGTCTGGAATAGGAGAGAAGGGCTACTCACCAGTAGCCATAGCAGCAATCACAGATAATTCTATAAACAACCCAACGGCAGACTCTTGCGTTCAATATTCTTTGTATTAATTGCTTTAAGGAAAACGTATTGAGTGCTTTGAAGTTCCATAATAAAAATAAAATCATCAAAACCATGATTCCCACTTGTGTAAGCAACCATGATTCATAAAATACATAGTTAAAAAAATTGAGAGCTTTTCATTATCCAGTTTTGTAATATGCCTCCTGGAAGCTTCCCTTTAAGCCTATGTGAACTTCTGGATCCTGTGAGAAGGTGTTAAAACAAAGGACTCGTGGCACACTGCCAATGAAACTTACCTGCGTGAGGTCAAAGTACTCCCAGACAGTAACAATTCAATTTTCAATTTCTAGAAAAAGACATCTCACACACACACACACACACACACACACACACACACACACACCTAGGTTATCTTTAAAATTAATTCAATGTAATTAATTTTTAAAATGTTTAAGTGCTTTGCAGCTAGCGTCTCGTTTAAAGTTTATAACACCCGAGGAGATGTGCTTTTATTTCCCCCATTTTCATACATGACTAAGGAAACCGTGGTGGCGTCGTGGGTTATAACTTGGGTTGCTCACCACACCGTCAGCAGTTCAAACCTATCAGCTTGGGAACAAATGAGGGAACAAATGAGGCTTCATGCTCCCATGAAGATTTAAAACCTCAGAAACTCCAAGGGGCAGTTCTGCTTTAGCATAGAGCAGTGGTTCTCAACCTTCCTAATGCCGTGACCCTTTCATACAGCTCCTCATATTGTGGTGACCCATCCCCCAGCATAAAATTATTTTTTGTTTCTACTTCATAACTGTCATTTTGCTACTGTTATGAATTGGGCAACCCCTGTGAAAGGGTCATTCAACCCCAAAGGGGTCCTGACCCACATGTTGGAAACCACTGGCCTGTAGGGTCTCTATGAGTCAGAATCCACTCGAATGCAATAGGTTGGATTTTGGGGAGTTTATACATGATGAAATAAGCATGGCGAGCTCAACTAGTTCTCCCAGCACCCCACAAGCTGAAAAGCTTGGACCCTGATCACTGGGCACCAGAGCCAACCTCCTCTTACCCAGTACCCTGAACTGCCCCCAATTCCGCTTAAGATAAGTCTGAAGGGAAATGACTCAAGATAAGCAGGTGCATATACACGAGAGCTAGTGGAGCAAGAAGTAGATCCTAGAGTGAGCCATCGTCCTGGACAACTGCGGGACTGTGGCATTCTTACGTCCTGTGGAGGGATGCCCTGGCTCAGACTTCCAAGTCTTCCTGCCCCAGAGATTGGGTGTGCAGATGGAATGCTGGTCTTCCGTTCCTCTCACTAACAAATCACTTTGCATGTTTCTTGTGTCTTCCAGTCGACCGTCCTCCCATGGAACCCTCCCAGTTCGTCTCAGTTGTCCCTAAATATCCAGACAAGATGGGATTTGATGAGGTAGGAAAGGTGTCTGTGTGTGTGAGTTGGCATGTGCACATGCATGTGATGCGCTGTATGTATATATAAGAATGCAAACATGACCAGACAATGAGAGTTCATGTGACCTTTGGCCCAACTGCTGACAAGGCACTCAGGTCTGGGAGAACCATCTTTGGTTGGGTTTCAGTTTCCTGTCTTAAAAAGGAGGATCCTTGAGCCAGAAAGAAGCTGCAATTTAGTACGGAGAGTGAACTTGGTATTTTCTATGAACAGGGATTGCTATACAGCTCAATCTTCTTATCAAGAGTCCAGCAAAGGGTAAAGAGAATATATGTCTTGATGTTGGAAGACGTTTGCTTTATCCCATGGCATCTAAGGGATTCTGAGATACCCCATGCCTTGTCTTGTTGTTTCTACTGTTCTTCTAAGAAAATAAAGTTGGAGGACAAGGCTGACAAAGAAAGAGAGAAAAAACCCAGATGTATTCTAAAACTCTACCTTTCTCTAGGCCAGAATGTAAGAGCTCTCTGAGAGCCATTTTTAGTATTAAGTCTCAATTGCATGATGAATGAAGCACATCCACACAGAGTTGCCAGAAATGCAAGCTAATTAAGAAGAGAATGTGGCAGGCAGGGTATTGTTACTGATATCAGATGGATTTGGCTGTAATCAGAGAATACCAGAAAGATGTTTACATGTATCTTATTGACGACACAAAGGCAGTCCTAAAATCTTGTGTGCATCCTAAAAACAAAACAAAACAAAAACTATGGATAACATTGAGAAGAATGGAAATTCCAAAACACTAAATTGTTTTTATGCAGAACTTGTGCATGGGCCAAGGCCATTCAAAGACAAGAAAGGAATACTGCATGGCTTAAATTCAGGAAAGTCGTGTGTCAGGGTTTTAGCCTTTCAGCATGCTTATTCAGCCCATGTGGATTCAGTCTGAATGCTGAGCAAAAAATTCAAGAATCTGGACTGCATGAAGACGAACATGGCATCGGTGTTGGAGGCAGGCTTGTTAAAAACCTTCAATATGCAGATGACTCGGCCCTGCTTATTGAAAACAAGAGGGACTTGAAGCACCCGCGGATGAAGATCAAGGATTGCAGCCTTGAGCATGTAAAGATAACTCAAATCCTCACAACTGGACCAGTAGACAACATCATGATGAATGGCGAAAAGATTGAAGTTAAAAAGATGGCGTTTTACTCGGATCCACCATCAACACTCAGAAAAAGAGCAGTCAAAAACTCAAACAACACTGTGTCGGGCAAACCTACATGAGACCTCTTTAAAATGTTGAAGTGCACGGTAGTCCTTCGATGACTCAGGTCTTACAGACTTACGCTATAGTATTTCTTACAGCTTTATTGACATATAATGCACATATTACACAATTGAACTATTGAATTGAGTTGTGCAGTCACCAACACAATCAAAAACCAACACAAGACATTTTCCTCTTTCTTGTTGTACTTAGCTCTTCTACTCAGCTCTGAGTTTCTCCCCAGCGTCCCCTGTCATGTCTCTGGGACCCTGTTAATTCAGGTACTTTGTCTATAGCTTTACCTATTCTGGATTTCATGTACATAAAAACATCCAAAACCAAAACAAACAAAAATGAAAAACCTCAATTGAAGCTAAAGCAGAAAATATTAAAGTTGGGAACAAATATGCAGTGCATTAAAAGGGAGATCAAATGCCAAGGTGTCACATGTTTACCTAACTCCACCTGCAGGCATCACCCTGCAATGCATTCTGTCTGGTAGCAAGGCCATTCCCATCCCTGGTCCATAGTCAGAGGGGATTCACATGGGGACCCTGCAAATTGATTTTGGGCTTTCACTGTCATCCGTCAGCAAAACCAGGTTTCAGAATTTAAGTTCTAATACCATTCCCTCCTACAGATTTGGATTTTACTATTTACAACCTGTGGATCACACAGGGTGGTGTGTTTCTTCTGTGTGGACTTAGCTGATGCTTCACGTAGATGGCTGCGTGTTGTAAGACAAGCCTTTAAGACCCAAGACACTATTCTTTCTGATAGCCAGGAACCATAAAGTTTCTTCACCACACTTTGCTACAGCACACATATCTTTAGTGATCTCGTCGTGAGCTCATCTTTGGCATTTTCGTTTACCTTATATACATGCGAAGCAGACAATGAATAAGGAAGGCTGAAGGAGAAAGGATGCCTGTCAACTCTGATGTTGGAGAAGGATATTGACGGGTATCACGGACTACCAGAAGATCACATCAATCTGTCCTAGAAGAAGTACAACCAGAATGCTCCTAAGCAGGAAAGAAGGCAAGCCTTTGTCTCACATCCTTTGGACATGTTACCAAGAGAGAGGCCCGTCCCTAGAAAGAGACATCATGCCTGGTCAAGCAGAGAGTCATCAAGGAAGAGGAAGGTGATCAAGGAAATAGGTGGACACAGAGGCTTCAATGCTGAGCTCAGCATAACGGTTGGGAGGATGGTGAAGAACGGGCTATGTTGTACACAGGGTTGCTATGAGTTGGGACTGACTTGATGGCAACTTATAAAAATAACAACAGAGAATGAAACACAAAGTGCAAAGAGATGTCTATCGTGGGAATATGCGTCAAGGATACTCTGCAGGGCCAGACTTATCATTGTAAGTCCCTGGGTCCTGCCTGGGTCCATGCAGACAGAGGGTCGGGCTACCCTCGTGCCTTGGGAACCCCCACACTGAGAAACCGTTCCTTCTGGCTGTGGGAGAGGCCAAGCTTTGACTTTGCCGACTTCAATGCCACAGTTTCATTGGAAGAACAGGTCTTACTGTTCGCCCTTTACACACACACGTACGTGTTCTCAAAGCCCTGCTGTCTTAAAGAGCTGCTGGGACTGGGGGTGAGAATGTCCTCTACAGCAATGGAGAGGAGGATTTTAAGAATATTAAGAGAAAAGAGTTATCAACTATTATGCCTATTTACAAAGGGCAGTATGAGAAGAGATGGATTTCAATGTAGAGAGTCCTTGAACACTTGCCGCTAATGAAAGATCGATAGTTCAAACCAACCAGTCATACCTTAAGGCAGGGGTACTTTTTTAAACAGGGGGCCAGTTCACTGTCCCTCAGACCTGTTGGAGGGCCGGACTATAGTTTAAAAAAAAAAAAACTATGAACAAATTCCTATGCACTCTGCATATATCTTATTTTGAAGTAAAAAACAAACGGGGCAAAAACACCCGGCAGGCCTGACATATGTCCTTGGAGGGCCGCATGTGGCCCGCGGGCCGTAGTTTGAGGACCCCTGCCTTAAGGGTAAGATGAGACAGGCTGCTTAGAGAAATCCACAGCCTTGGAAATGCCTTGGGCCAGTTCTCCTCTGCCTGTGGGGCCACTATGCATCAGAATCCACTCCAGATCGCTCTCAGATGGTGCAAACAGTGAATGAGCTCAGCTGCTAACCAGAAGTTTGGAGGTTTGAGTCTCCTCAGAGAAACCTTGGAAAAAAGCCTGGTGTTCTACTTCCAAAAAAAACCCGAGCCACTTAACATCCTATGGAGTACAGGATGCATGGAGTTACCGGGAGTTGAAATCCCCTCAAGTACAACTGATTAGAGATGAATTCGTTTTTAAAAAATAAGCAGGGCTTCAGAAAAGTTTGGCCCACACCATGCCTTGGTCTGGCTTCCATATCTCCTTACCTGAAGCTCTCGCCAGTCCCCCTCTTTCAGTTCTCTACCATAAAAGACCCACATGTCTGCAGATATGATTTGTTTTCTTCCTAAAACACATCCCGGAAAGGATGAAACAAAGCAAGTAAAACGAGGAAAAACCAGGATTTCCTAGTTCTGACCCTGGGTTCTAGAAATTCAATGTCCTGGGACTGAGTATAAGGACTGGGCCACTCCAAGAGGCCCTCTGGTTACGTTGAACCTTGGAGGAGACACAAGTTCATACAATCTACCTGCCGGAGCTCAGGAGAGTCCTCTCTGCCTAGAACAGGGCTAGGAGATGGAAAGGGATTTTTCAGGGACCTTTCAACCCGCCGAGCTGTCCAGGGCCTGGTTGGTGGTGTCTGGGCTGCGTTTGACTAGCGGCTCCTTCCTCTGTTCACTCTTACCTCAGTGCGGAGGAGCTGTCTGTGTTTGTCCTGCGTGGCTATGGTTCGTATGACACTTGTCCTGGCAGGGACTGTGGTTACCTTAGTAGCTACTAAAGCCTCCCCTGATGAGAAGTCCAGGCTTTGGGGATTCTTTTTGTTGTATCCTGTTTACTTTCATTTTGTTTTGTGTCTTGAACTGTTGGAGGGACCACGTAGCTCTGACTTCACACTTGAGAAGATTGTGAAATTGGAGGGGAGGTCATGGCCTATCAGATAGGACGTGAAACAGGAAGATAGTGAAATGTAAAGGAACACAATCATTAAGCTGTAAAATCACAACTAACCAGACAAACAAAAAGATAAGTAAGTAACGAGCAGATCTGTGATGCGCTTCACCCATTTGCCTGGAGTCCAGGGGAGCAATCTTCTGCAAATGACACCTTTCTCCCCTACCAGCGTCTTTGCTAAGGGTTTGCAAGAGGTAAGACTACTTTAGAAGAAAGGGTTAAAATTTCGCTCAGTGTCACTTTAATCCCAGTGAGATACACAATGCATTTACAGTCACATTCACAATGGCCGTGTGAGCTAAGCCCACTGCCAGTGAGTTGATTCCAAGGTGTAGGAGCCCTGTAGAACAGAGTAGAACTGCCCAGTAGGGTTTCTCAACCTGAAACCTTAAGGCAGCAGGCTGCTGCATCGTTTCTCCTGTGGAGTGGCTGTTGGGGTAGAACCACCAACCTTCTAATTAGCATCTGAGCACTTATCCACTGTCACCAGTGCTCCAAGGAAAGGCTTCTCTCAGTAGAACCTGAGCGCTGCTGATACTGCACTAACGAGAGCGTCAAGCCAACTTTATGGGAAACCATGCATCATCGAAGTGTTCCTCTATCCAAGACCTGAGGGAGGAGTTTGTTCAGCTCCTTTTGTAGACACGGCAAATGGATCCGGAGGTCTTAAATGCCTTCCTCACAAGCATATCAGATGATCCCTCTAATCAAAGTCAAGGTCATCTGACTTTCTTCCTGTGGCTGGTTCCAGTAATGGTGGTGCAATGATTAAGCGCTCAACTGCTAACCAAAAAGTTGGCAGTTGGTTCCCACTCAGCAGTGCGATGGGTGAAAGGACCTGGGAAAGCTCCTACAAAGATGCCAGCCCAGAAAGTGGGGGGCAGTTCTGCTCCCTCAGGGAAGGAATTGACTCAGTGGCCCACAACAACAACTAGCCCCTGAAGTCTCTCTCCATGCACTCAGTTCACGAATCAACACCGTCGATTGCTGCTTGTGGCCATTGGACCTTATTAAAACATGATTGAGCCTGTGGTTCTGTACGCCCTGGAGTGGTCAGGACTGCCTCACGATTACCGTCACCCACTGGTGGGCATGGGCTCAGAGTAGTGGTCAGTGATGTGAGGGCGGAGGAAAGACCAGTCCACCGCCTCTGAGACCTTGCAAACCACAGGGTCCTCTCGACGGCCCTTCTGACATTCAATTCTTTCGATGTCTCCCTGCCCTCCCACCCCCACCCCAGGGCTCTCTTTCCTTCTTTCGGGGGTGGGGGGGTGGGGGGGGAGAAAAGAAACTCCCTTCTCTGTAAGGGAATGGAAATATTCCAGCCACAGAACGATGGCCATTGGAACGTTGACCATTCCTTGTGGAATTGAAGGCAATAAAAGCCATGTGTCAATTTCACATTTTTGTTCTTCTTCTAATGGCTTCAAACTTGTCGGAAGTGGGTGTTAATATCCAATACTCCCGAGGTAGGACCTCTAGTCTCCCAGTTTATAGAGGAGCGAATGGAGGCATTTGAAAGCAAGAACAGACGACTGGGCCCACCCCTGGGTCAGCTTCTGCATGCCATCATTTACCAGATTGCCTCCCGGCTTCCATTGCTACGCATACAAACATTTTGGCTTTAATTCACCTTGGACTTCTGAAGAACAGCTTGTAAAATTGTCCTTCTCCCCAGGAGCACATACTCCTCACGGAGCAGGAGGGAAACTGAGGACGAGTGAAGTACAGCAAGGGGTTGGGTTGTGAATGATCACTGGCCCTTCATGCACTTCATGTGAACCTAGATCAACAAATCCCATGTATCATCCATCTACCCCCAAACCATTGCCACCGTTTTCTGATCTTTTCCTCTGTTGCTTCCACCTCCAACGTCACTCCGGACATAACCTAAATGACCTTTCTTTTCTCCCTGGGTTAGATTTTCATGATAAACCTGAAACGCAGGAAGGACAGGCGAGACCGGATGCTGCGCACGCTGTACGAGCAGGAGATTGAGGTCAAGATCGTGGAGGCTGTGGACGGCAAGTGAGTCGGGTCCTTTGTGCATGTGGTGAGAGTGGGGACCGTCGGGGTGTGTCTCAGCGGCCAGGCCTGGGTGGGAGGCATCTGACGGATGCGTTCACCTTCCCTTTGTTGTGGTCCATCGATAGGGACCACAGCAGTTGTCATTTCAGCCAGCATCACATGCACTGTTTGGTAGCATTCATTCTGTGTCTCACGTGGACCCTGAACTATCCTTCCATGTTTTTCTATCATCTTTAACAGATGTCCTCTAAAGGACAGACATATATTTTTTTTTAAATCCACGTGTACTCTGAGTTTGGGGGCCACTGGAGAACCGTGGAAACTTTTCAGCTAATTTCACCCTGTAGAGCAGGCCTGAGATCTACTAACCACTTGTCGTTGGCACAGCTGGCCTGTGCTCGTCACAGCGTCCACCCCTCCAGGAACGTGCAGGAAGCCACCCAGAACACGTGGTCGCTTCTAGGAAGGGTCTTTTTAGCTGTTGTCTTTTCCTCTGCCTCGCCCTCTGGCTTGGCATTCGAAACAACTTCAGGGTGTCGAGTTTTATAAAGCTGGCATGTTCATGTGACCTGAGAGTGTTGACTGGAACCCTGTTGTGGTTACGTGCATAGCTGCTAACCAAAAAGGCTGGTGGTTCTACCCCCAGCTGCCCCACAAGAGGAAGATGTGCCCGTCTGATTCAATAGCTGCTGTAGCCGTGGGCACCTATGCGGAGTCCAGTTCTGTTCCATAGGTAGGGTTTCTATGCGCTGGGCTCTATTCCATGTTTTGTGTTTGCTTGCAGGGGTTGACTAGAATGCCGTGGCCCTCCTGTCTCGTTATCTCCTCTCTTAGGATGGACACGTTTATGGGCATCAAAGGCTCTCATCAGTGGTTCTCCAAGTGTGGCCTAGGGACCCAATCCAAGTCTCCAGGGTCGACTCAGAGGGGCAGCTCCCTGTGGTCCATCCCAGACCCAGGGATTCATGATCTCGCGGGGCGGGGGCCCAGGATCTGCATTTAAGAAGCCATTTGATTGAGTGATTCTTGAGTTGGTTTGCCAGATAAAATACAAATGACCACTTACAATCTCCCCGAGTGTTGCTTGGGCTTCCTTATACTAAAAAAATTGTGTGTTGCTTATGTGACATGTAAATGGGACTGGGATTCCTCTGTCTTTTCTTGCTTCCCCTGGCCCCCATCTTTCGGGGTTCAAGTTGGTTTGTGAGAGCCCCTTCTTCAAACACTTGCAGGAAGCCCAGTCCAGTGCTTAGGCTGTGGAGAGCAGGAACGCTAGTGGAGCTCTTTCTCTATTCTGGATGTGAGACCCTAATCAGAGAGATCATTTGGGAGCATTTTCCCATCATTCTGTTTTGTTTTTTTTCTCCCCACTCTCTTGAGGGTGTCCTTTGAGACACAAAAGTTTTAAATTTGGTTGAATTCCAATGTACATTTTTATTTTGTTGTTTGTGCATTTTATGTCCTAGTTAAGAAACCATTTATCAGATGGAGGTTTCTAAGATTTATTCCTATGTTTTCTTCTAAGAATATTATAGGTTTAACCTTTTCACTTAGATCATTAGTTAGTCTGGGTAGACTAGAGAGACAAATCTACAGAAACTCATATGTATGAGAGAGAGTTTTATATAAAGGGTAGTTGTACATTAAGAAAGCATCCCAACCCAGTCCAGTCCAAGCCCATAAGTCGGACATTAGCCTTATGTCTGACACCAGTCTACAAAGTGCACCTCAAACTCACGAAACAGATGCAATGACGCTGAATGCAGGATGATCACAGGCCAGTGGGTAGAATGTCTTTGCATCCAGTAGCACTGCAAACCTCTCAGCACTGGCAGGGGTCTCCACATGGCTTCTCCAGCACCCAGGGCTGTATCGGGGTAGGTCCATGTGGCTTCTCCTCAGGGATGTCTCACAGGAAGTGAGCCTTGCCAGCGGAGGCAGAGAACTAGCTAAGGCAGCCACAACTGGTCTGACCATCAGAAAGGAAGAGATGAAAAGGTGAGGCTCGCCGAGCCATTTAGCTCTCCACCCTTCAATTAAACTGCCCTTTAATTAATCCACATGTGTTCATTGGCCAGGTTGGCACAATAAACCTATCACAGTCATCGACCCATTTCGGGTTAGTTTTGTTGATGGTGTGAGGTTGCATGTAGATATCCCGCTGCTCCAGGATTAGTTTTTGGAAAGAGTGCCCCCTCCTCCATGGGATTATTGAAAATGGCAACCTTGTTGAAAATGAAATGGTCATAAAAGGGTCTTTGTTTGGATTCTGAATGGTTTTCTATTGATCTGGATTATATATCTGTGCGTACACCAATGCTTCACTTGATTACTTGATACTTGTCTTGATTACTGTAGCTTGCATTAAGTTTTGAAGTCGAGAAGCATGAATCTTCCAACCTTTTTCAAATCTTCCAAATCTTTTCCAAGATTGTTTTAGCTATTTTGTGCCCATGTATTTCCATATGGATTTTGGAATCATTATGTCAATTTCTGGGGAGTAGGAAATGGTGGTAGGGAAAGCAACCGGGATTTTAATGGATTTAGCATTGAATCTGTAGCTCTTTTGGGGTTTCGGGGAGTGTTTCCATCTGAACAGTATTAAGTCTGTGATCATAGGCTGTCTTTCCATCTTTGTTAGGTTTCTTTAATTGCTTTCAACAACACTTTACCATTTTCAGTGTACGAGCCTTGCATTGCTTTTGTTAAATTTATTTGAAAGTGTTTTATTCAGTTTTATGCTATTGTAAATGGGGTTTTAAGTTTTCACTTTGGGGTACTTTTCTTTTTTAAATCATTTTATTGGGGGCTCTTACAGCTCTTATCAGAATCCATACATCCATTGTATTGAGCACATTTGTACATTTGTTGCCATCATCATTTCCAAAACATTTTCTTTCTACTTGAGCCCTTGGTATCAGCTCCTCTTTATTCCCCTCCCTTCCCCACCCTCCCACCCATGTGAGCCCTTGGTAAATTATAAATTATTACTATTTTCATATCTTACACCATCCGCTATCTCCCTTCACCCATGTCTCTGTTGTTCATCCCGGGAGGGGGGCTGTTTATATATCCATCCTTGCCATCGGTTCCCCCAGTCTCCCCCTTCTCCCCCTACTCCCATTACTGTTCCTGAGGGGTTATCTGTCCTGGATTCTGTGTGTCCAGAGCTCTTATCTACATGCTCTGGTCTAGCTGGGTTTGTAAGGTAGAACTGGGGTCATGATAGTGGGGAGGGGGCATTAAAGACCTAGAGGAATGTGTGTTTCCTCGGTGCGCTGTATCCCTGGCCACAGGCTGCCCTTTTGGCTGTTCTACAAAGTGCATGCCTCCCTGGTGCTATTGTTCGCCTGACAGGCTTGGCTGTGGTTTGACAAAGTCATGGCACAGAAGTGAGTTTCATTCCAGACGTGCAGGGTGTCCAAGGGTCATGATCTCCAGAGTCCCATCTGTCTCTGTCTGACCAGCAAATAAGTCTGGTCTTTTTCATGATTTTGAGCTTTTTTGATATTTTTTCTCTCATTCTATCTAGGCCCTCCTGCCAAAGCAGTGGGCAGTGGTCACCTGGCACCATTGAGGTCTTCCCAGCTCGCCCCTGTCATCTTATCCCGTGTGGCTCGTGTGTTGCTGTGGTGCTCAGCGATATCGCACCAGTGCCCGGAGTCACCAGTGGTGGCTTGGTTCAGTGGAGCTGCCGGACTATCTGGAAGAGTCTATTTGGGGCTATCTCTGTGCTATTTTTTATTGTCATCTTTTTCCACATTTTACCTTCAAAAGAAGGACACACACGTGCTCATAGGCACATACAATTCCTTGCCTCATTATGCCCTCTCCTCGTCCCTTCTAGTATTTTATGAGAGGACTTCTTCTTGATGTTGTCAGAAATACTTAAAACCCAGTAAGTCCTAGGAAGACACACAAAAGCAAAAGATACTCCACAGAACGCGCAATGCTACCACCATCACAGTAACCCTGAGGAACTTCACACGCTCCCCCCTGTGTGTGGAGAGGCTCAGGGGCATCTGCAGCCCTCTGCCTGGCCTCTGTGGAGGGACACTTCAACTTGTCAACTTACCCACGTGCTCTCTGTCTTCCAGGGCACTCAACACAAGCCAGCTGAAGGCGTTGAATATTGAAATGCTGCCCGGTTATCGAGACCCCTACTCCTCCAGGCCTCTCACCAGGGGTGAAATCGGCTGCTTCCTTAGCCACTACTCCGTCTGGAAAGAGGTAAGTTGTGCTTCAAGTAGATGCGCAGTACTGCAGTGGGGCAAGTACTGCCATGGGACCGGCAGGTAAGTTTAGACAGGCTATGAGATGTGTCGATAATTGCTCTGAAGGGTTTGTGTTAGAGACAATGCTTGAGACTATTCTGCTGCTTCACAGCTCCCTCTGCCTCCTCGGGGCCAGCAACCAAGGAACAAGTGGTGGGGTGGCTCTGGTGCCAGCTGGGATGATGACGAGGAAGGCACCATGCCCTGAGCACCACAAGCTATCTTTGCATTCTGTCATCAGTAGGAATGCCCTGGGTGGATAGACCCTGTCACTATCTATTAGGTGATTTTGTACAAGATGTCCCATGTCCGAAGGGATGGACACAATTTACCCCAAAGAAAAGTTTCTTGGCCAGGTGTTAAAGACAGGACCCACCCCCATGTTGTACACTCGGGATCTGAATAGAAGTGGTACTGGAGTGCGGAGTCCACTTCCCACAGGGAAGAAAAACTCCCTGGAAAGGACTCCTTGGGTGCCCTCTCCTTTTCCATAATGGTCCGGTCTATGCTTGTCCTTTCTGCCCTTTTCTATGTAATCTTTCAACGCTACATCTGTGAGACTCAGTTGCATCCTTGCATTCGATTGTAACGCATGCATTCTTGTCACTGCGATTATACCAGTGTATGCACCCAGTCTGCACGGGCGGTTCCCTGACTGGGCAGTGCTATGAGTGAGTCGGAATTGACTCCGTGGCAGTCAGTTTGAGGATGTTTTCATTTTATTTTTTGCTATTGATGGCTATTTGTGTAGACTCCAGCCATGAGCTATTACAAACGGTGCTATGCTCTACTCTTAGTTTTTTAATACTTAAAACCCAACCCAAACACACTGCCATCAAGTCAGTTCCAACTCATAACAACCCTGTAGAACAGGATAGGACTGCCCTGTGGGATTCTGAGAGGGGACAGTTTACGGAGTGGACAGTCCCATCTTTCCCCCAGGAGCAGCTGGTGGTGTTGAACTCCTGGCTTTGCAGTTAGCAACTCGTAACCACTATGGCACTCGGGCTCTTCGCTAATACTTTCTAATCTATTAAAAAGGGTGTCCCCATTTTCATAGGGTGTCTCCCCACTGATGACCTTTACAGGTGATTGACCGAGACCTGGAGAAGACTCTTGTTATTGAAGATGATGTGCGTTTTGAGCATCAGTTCAAGAAGAAGCTGACAAAGCTGATGGCTGACATCGACCTGGCTCAGCTGGACTGGGAGCTGATGTGAGTGACAGGCTTGTTGAGAACCATGAGCAGCGTGCCCTTCCTTCCAAAGGCAGAGAGCCCTGCCGCCCCAGCTGGTAGGAGAGACAGCTCAGGTTGCTTCTCTGGGGCTGTGTCTGGGAACAAGAAGTGGGTAGAGGTTAGCCACAGGTGTTTACTTTGTCAAGTGAAAAGCTATGAGCCAGGCTGAAGCCAGCCGACCGATGCGGGGCATAGCGGAACTGTCCATCACCCATGAAGTAATAGTCCCTGGTCAGCATGTGAGGAGAAAGGAGGCGGCTTCTACTCCGGGCAAGAGTACCGTGCCCCAGAGCAGATTGCCTCCATAATCCCCGACAGAGTGGGAAAGCAGAGGGCCAGGAGCAGAGCCACGAAGTCAGAAATAAGGTAGCTGCAAGCTGGGAGCAACACCGCCATCCAGGTGTGGTGGCCTGTCTGAGACTCCAGGGAAAATCAGACTCAGCAAGGGAGGGCCAGCTCTGCTCCGTAGGACATTGTCTGACGTTCCTTGTCTGCCACTCCGCTGGTCTCTTTCTGGGGAGGGCCTGCGAGGGGAGGGGGGGGCAGCCTGGCTCCCTGCTGTGCGTCAAAGGCCCTGTCACAGCAGGTTCCTTCCCAACAGCCCCACCAGGCAGAGCCTTCCCTCCCCCTTCCTCCTTAGAATATTTGTTCTCCTGAGAAATGTACCATTTGAGGCTCAAGAGAAACCAAGTTAAGGCTCTGTAAGTCTGTAGGTAATAGAGCCAGAAATCAATCCTATGTAATAAGTAGACCGACTCCCTGTCCCGTGTTGGTTGTGTGACTTGGTTGGGTGTTCTGTGCGACCCGTAAGATGACGATTTCAGACGTCCCCTTCTGCATGGATGGCTCCGTCCCTGTGGCCGAGACCTCACAGGCACGGTACAGAGGAGCTATTTTTCGGCTGGGCGACACATGCAGTGGCGACTTGGATTGAAGCCCCAGACTCACGGAGGTTCCGGTTTGGCTGCACCCCGTCCCCGTGTAGTTCAGTGGGCGCACTTCTCAAGACGAAGTGCAGATCTAGGAGGCAGGCAGCGGTGTCCTGATTAAGGTCCAGAAAGAGGGGGTGTTTTCTCAGTTCCACAGAGTGCCCCAGCAAGAGTAACCCTAACGTGATCCCCACCACGTCCTAGAGAGAAGAAGCCAATCTTTCCTAATCCTACAACTTGAAAGGACATCTGCTCATTCTGACCAGATGAAAATTTCTTCAGAAAGAGGAAAGAGAGAGAACAATAAATTAAAAGAAAAAATTTAAAAACAAAAGAGGAAAGAGAGAACATAAAAGAAGCCACTGGAATCATTTAGGGCAGCGCTATCCAGCAGAGATGGGCTGTGGGCCACACGTGTGATTCAAGTTTCTGGCCATCACCTAAAGAGCCCTGGGAGGGTAATGGGTTACACACTCGGCTGCAGACTAGCAAGTCAGCAGTTCAAAACCACCAGCTCCTCAGTGGGAGACAGTGGGGCTTTCTACTCCCATAAAGATGTACAGCCTCAGAAACCCACAAGGGCAGTTCGACCCTGACTTATGGAGGCACTAAGCTCCAGAATTGACTGGCTGGCAGGGAGTTCCAATTGAGCTGGTAATCACCTTAAAAATAGTGAAAATGAATTAGGGGCAATGAATCATATATTTTAAGAAAATGTTATTTTAGCATCTCACCAATATTTTTAAACTATTCATGAGATCATTTGCATTTTGAGTACCAAGTCTTGAATACCCAGTGTATATTTTACACTTATTAGCTGCTCTTGATGCAAGGGTGAAATTTTCATCTGTAAAAAACTCACTGCCATCAAGACTCTAACTCATAGCAAGCCTGCAGGACAGGGTGGCAGCGCCCAGGGCGTTCTGAGGCTGTTAACCTTTATGGGGACAGAAAGCCCTCCTCTTCCATCCGAGGTGTGATAGGAAAGCATGGGCCAAAACAGCGGGTATCAAAACAGCGGGTATCAAGTACCAGGTCTGATAGGGAGGCGAAGCCTGCCGGGCCACTCTGAAAATGACAAGTAACCAGGGTGGGAGTGCACCATGTAGCCACCTGATTGGCGAGTTTGAATGGGGGGGGGGGCCAGGTTGACATGGCTTTGGATGTGGGAAGGTGTGGGAGGTAGAGGGACTCTGTGAGTGAGAAGCGTGGGAGCAAGGCTCTTGATATGGCCAGGTGCCATCTTATACCCGGCTGGACTTATGAAGGTGGTTTTAAACTCCTGACCTTTGCGTTCGCACCAGGCTCCACACAGGAAACAAGGAGACGGGTACCGTCTGATGGCTGACGCCTTGGAAGCCGTTCCTCAGGCTTGTCCTCTCAGGGGCCTTTGCGTGGACCCACACCTCCAGTCTTTGGGATGTCCACTGAGGGCATGAACCATGGCACCGCTGGTGGCTCCCAGTGACCCATGCGATGTTGTTGGGTGCTGCAAACCGATTTTGACTCACAGCACTCCTACGTGAAGAGTAGAACCGCCCACAGAGCTTCCCTGGGAGCAGGGCACCAGCGCTTTCTCCTGCAGAGTCGCGGGGTGGATCTGAACCACTGACGTTTCCATGATTGGAAAGTGCTTGAATTCTGCACCACCGGGGCTCCTTTATGTGACCCTAATATTTTATACAGCTTTTATATTTAAGTTTAACTAAGATTAGTACGATCATCTACTTAGTTCCCCCATCACTCTCTCTAGGTGCGTGATAGAACGGCTTCTGTTTGATCATGCACTTTAGTTTGAAGACAGTGGCTAAGGGGATAGATACATGTTTGATACTCTCCGACGGACCGGACGCCTCAACATGGACTTATTCAATCCATTCTGGAATAGGCCACAGGCCACAGTTTGCTGGTAGAGAAAACTGGTGTTTATGCTTTGTTGATGTCGTTGTACCGTGGTTTTGTGGTGAACCAGTGCTGCACATCGTCTTTGTGTCAGCGACACTTTTTTTTTTTAAATCATTTTATTGGGGCTCTTACAACAATTGTTACAAACCATACATTATTGCATCTGACATAGTCATACATACATTCCATCATTCTTTTCTAGACATTTACTTTCCATTGAGCCCTTGGGATCAGCTCCTCTTTTTTTCCCTCCCCACCCCCTAACCCTCATGGCCCATTGATAGATTGTAGATTGTTAATTATTTTCAAATCTCACACTGACCTCTGTCTCTCTTCCCCTCTGGTTTCTGTTGCTCTTCCCCCTGGATGGGGGTGTGTGGTTATTCATTGCGATCAGTGGCCCCCTCCCTCCCCACCTCTCCCCCCTCCCCCTACCCTTCTGGTCTCTCTATTCCCACTCCTGTTCCTGGTTCCATGTGTGGTGAGCTTTATCTCTTGCCTATATCTAAGTACATCTAGTCCAGAGTGGGAAGCGGCACTGGGGTCATGATAGTGGGGTATGAGGAGGCCTCAAGGGATCAGAGCTATATTACGTGATGCGACGGTGCTCTACTGCACCCTGATTGACTCAGCCCCTCCCTGTGACCCCTCTGTGGGGGGATGTTTCATTGTCCACAGATGGGCTTTGGGTCTTTGCTCCGACCCCCCTCCATTCTCACCAATGCATTTTTGTTTGTTTGTTTGTTTACTGTTTGTTGTGAGTCTTCTGATCCTATTTCCCAGTCTCGATGACACCTCACGATCGCACTGGCTGGTGTGCTTCTTCCATGTGGGCCTGTTGCTTCACTGTTGGATGGCTGCTTGTTTAACTTCACGCCTTTAAGACCCAGACACTGTATCTTTTAATAGCCGGGCACCCTTCTCTGTCTTCACCACATCTGCACCCATTTTCTCTTCAGTGACCAGGGGGCGGGGGCGGAGGGGGAAGGTGGGGGTGAGCACCACAGAATGCCAATTTGTTAGAACAAAGTGTTCCTTTCCCCCATCAGAAGGTCTGGTGTCCTTCTCTGTGGCGCACACTTCCAGGGTGGGGGTCAGGCTGGTTCTGGTTGGGGCCGGCCCTGCAGTCCAGTGTTTTTGTGCATTCCTCCACGTGTTATGTTGCCCTCTTGGTTGGGGGTGCCATGGTGGGGTCTGTATGCACACTCCAATTCTGTGGAGCCACCACCAATACTCTCCCCCGGGTGGCCCTGTTGCCCCCATGTCGTCATCTCAGTTTCTCCCAAGCCCCATTTTCCCTCCTCCTTCCTTCTTTATGTTGGATTCACATGTACCTCCCTGGGTTTGGTCTGTCCTCCCTGCGACTGCCTGTGCTTCCACTCGTATGTTGTGAGATACGTCTTTTCTTCACTTCCTGCTGTGCTGATTGTACTTACCTCAGGGGACTCATGTTATACTTGTCTTTTTGAGATTGGCATACCTCACTTAACATAATTCCTTCCAACTCTTCCCATGAAACAAAGTGTTTCATGTGATCGTCCATGCTTTTCAGTGCTGCATAGTACTCCATTGTGTGTATGTGCTAGAGTTTACTAATCCACTCTTCTATCAATGGAAATTTAGGTTGTTTCCAACTCTTTGCGATTGTGAATTGCACTACAATAAACATTGGGGTGTAGATAACTGGTTGAGTTTTATTTATTACCTCCTTGGGTATATGCCCAGTAGAGGGATGGCTGGGTCATAAGGGAGATGAACTCCCATTTTCTTTAAGTCTCGCCAGATCACATTCCACAGTGGCTGTACAAATCTACACAACCACCAGCAATGGAGGAGGGTTCCTATTTCACCACATCCCCTCCAACATTTGTTGCTCTCTGATTTTCTGATTTGGGCTAACCTCAGGGATGTTGGATGATATCTCATCATTAATTTGCATTTCTCTTATGGCTAATGAACGGGAACACTTTCTCATGTGTATGTTGCCCATGCGGGTCTCCTCTCTAGTGAACATGTGTCTCAGTGGGACTCTTACAATGTGTCGGCCACCTTGTACAAAAGGAACTTGAAATGTAAGTGGTGTGTGTGCTCCGGGAGTTTGCTCTTCAAACACAGAAGTCCTCTGAAAAAAATTAAGTAAACAAATAAAGTCTGGAATGCTTGAACAAAGGGCGATCCCCTGAATGTTGGGATCGGTTTAGGGCAAAACAAATGAGCTACTATTTTACCTAAAAGGCTGCTACTCCGCCAGCCAGGAAGTTGAGCTGGATACAAACAGGCTGCAGACAAAAGTAATGGATCACAGATCTATGGATAAAGGAGGCAGAAATGGTGGAGGCTACCTCTCTGTGGAAGATGGCATTCCCCGGGGACAGAGTACACATGAGAGCCTTTCTCGGAGGAAACACGCACAGGAGTGTGTGCGAGTGACGGCGAGACAGCCATGCAGACCTTGTTATTCATGCTCCCCAGGAAGAGGCCCCTGGGCCTGCTCTTGGATTCCCAGTTTCTCTACTAACAAGCATCTCTTTGCAGAGTGCCGTCTGCCCTGGGCTCGCCACTAGCTTTTGGCAGGCTGTGCCAAACCCAGGCGAGCTGAAGCTCGGGGACTTAAAAACAACAACGTCTGAGTTCTCACATCTGCTCCTTTTTTGGGTTTTGGTTCCCCTCCAGTCCCGTAAACCTAGATGCAAATCCCATACGATCTTTAAGAAGTGATCTGAAAGGTCTTTTAACCTCCCTGCATCTGAACTTGCTTCCTTGAACCCAGTCGGCCAGGCAGAAATCGTCAGGGTTGTGATTAACAGAGCCAGGGACACAAACACGACTGATCTTTACAAATATCAAGGAACAGAAACTAGCAGCCCATTGATGGTAGGTGACAGCCAGGGTTGTAGTTCAGATGCACATGGTATATTCAATGCAAGGGGGTTCAAAAAATGTGTGGGGAAATGTAATGAAAAGATAATGGGATGATTCCACCTACGTTTGAAGCCCCCTCATACCTTTAACATGAGAGGCATATGGCTCAAGGTGTCCGATGAGTCTATGGAAGCCAGACCTGTGCTCCTCTTTTACCGTGCTCTAATATTCACGTTGGAATTGTCCTCCCCTGCCGGTTCCTTTCAGCTACATTGGCAGGAAGAGGATGCAAGTTAAAGAGCCTGAGAAAGCGGTACCCAGCGTGGTCAATCTGGTCGAAGCAGACTATTCCTACTGGACCCTGGGCTACGTCATCTCTTTGGAAGGAGCACAGAAACTGGTTGGAGCCAATCCTTTTGGGAAGATGTTACCCGTGGACGAGTTTCTGCCAATCATGTACAACAAGCATCCTGTGTGAGTCGACCCCGCCGCCCCTCTGAACCCAGCCCTGGCCCCATCGTGAATTACCCTACCCTTTTTGGAGTAACGCTTGATATTTTGTAAAGTTGTATTGCTTTCCTAAATGATGTGCTCATAATCATGATTCAGGCATGCAGACCATGTGCTTATTCCCTTTTATAGACGGCAGGTTGCACACGCACCATGGAGGGAGGCCGCACAATCTCTCACCTTTGCAGAGGGCTGGGACCAAAGCCAAGTAGAAAGGCATCAAAGCCCCTGCCCTTGCTCTCGCCCAGGCTGCCATCCAGGTCTCAGATTTTGCATGTCTTAAGGAACAAGGCCTTTTCTATCCAGTGATTGGATTTGTTCATTTTTATAGTCCAGAAGAGCTCAGGTTTTCATTGTAAGATCTAAAATTCACCCCTGTAAACTTTTTTTGTGGCTAGGTGTCTTTGAGTCAGATCCAATTCAAACCCAGGCTGGGCCCAAGAGAAGGAAACACTGCCCGTCCTGGTGGTCCCCTCACCATCGCTGTTGCCCCCACTGCATCGGTCCACCTCCTTGAGGGTCTTCCTCTCTTCACTGACCTGCCGCTACCACGCGTAGCGCCTCTCTGCAGGGACTGCAGGTCTCTCCTGATGACTTATCCAGTGTGCACGAAAGGAAGTCTCATCCTCAATGCCAAGGTGCATTGTGGTCAATCAGACACACTCAGACCGGATAAGGACACCGTGCTTGATTAAGTGGGGGCACCGAGATGGATCGGCGCAGTGGCTACCGCAGTAGGCTCAAACACAGGACCGATTGTGAGGGTGGCACAGGGCCTGCGGATGTGCTGTGCTGTTGTACCCGGGGTGGCGGAGTTGGAACAGACTTGATGGCAATTCACATGCTGGTGTGATGTACTATTGAGCCAATTCCCACTCATGGTGACCCTACAGGACAGAGAAGAACATTCTATAGGGTTTTCAAGGCTGCTCCCTTTACAGAAGCAGGCTGCCTCCTCGTTCTTCCGCGGAGGGGCAGGTGGGTTCAAACTGCCAACCATTTGGTTAGTAGCTAAGTGCTAACTGTTGCACGCCCAGGGCTCCCCGACCCCTTAAGATCATCAGAAATCATTTAAAGAAAACTTTACTGTGTTTTTAGACTTGGAGTTTTATTTTTAAAAAGGACCACGATTTTTTAAATAATCAAAGCCACGTCTGGGTACGTAAAAGTTAACATGCAGTCCTGCCCCACCCCCTTCCTCCCCTGCCCTGGGTGTGCGGTGCCCACTCACGTGCGCATGCGCCTCTTCTTGCAGCGCGGAGTACAAGGAGCACTACGCATCCCGGGACTTGAAAGCCTTCTCTGCGGAACCGTTACTCATCTACCCCACGCACTACACCGGCCAGCCGGGCTACCTGAGTGACACGGAGACCTCCACCATCTGGGACAACGAGACGGTGGCCACTGACTGGGACAGGGCTCATTCCTGGAAGTCCCGGAAGCAAGGGCACATCCACAACAACGCCAAGAACACAGAGGCCCTGCCACCGCCAACCTCCCTGGACAGGGCGCCTTCCAGGGATGAGCTGTGAGAGGAAGGCTCGCAGGCACGTGGACCCCCGGGTGGTTGTTGATGGCCCTTTGGTTTTCCTAAGGGGCTGTGCACCTGTTCGATCAGATCTCCTGCACTTGTCTCTGCCATCTCTCCAAAGTGGTCTGAGTGATTGTTTCTGAATTCCAGCATTTGTGACAGGGGAGGTGAATGGGGATGTTCAATCCAAATTTCCTAGGTGGCTAGAAGGAGGGTTTTACAGGGGCCATTAAGATAAATGTCAATCCAGACATCCGGTCCTTGAGTTCGTTGCCCACGTGATACCACGTCCCTCCCACGTGGAAGTCAAACAGCATGGCTTAGAGGTTCACCCAAGAGGATGCTCACCAGGTTGTCCCATTGGTACATGGATCATCACCTCAGACAAGTCAAGGGACCACACCTGTGGTCTCCCGGAAGCTTGCTTGATACGACAGACCTTTCCCTGAAATATGGTTGGGAGAAAAATCAGACCAGTTGAAACATATTAATTGGCTTCTTACTTAAGGGGATTCTGCCATAAGTTCTATTTCGAAGTGGACTTAAACCCCAGGCCTCATCGTCCAATGGGGACTGGGCATTGGGATGTGGCTGAAACTCGGCCCTGGACCAGCATGGCAAACAGAACTCTCATAAGGTAGCTAGCTGCCATGTGGATATAATTGGGTAGATAATTAAATGAGGATTTGTGTAAATAGTTGAGGGAAAGAGAATTCGCCCTTTGGCCCTTATTTTACATTGTGGTCACTTGAGTGAGGATGCTCTATTTATAACCGTAAATTTAATATATAAGGGGTCCGACTGGCATGTCATTCCTGTCTGGGGGTCCCTGTGCTGCTGCAGCAGATCCTGTCTGCTGCTCCCTCCACCCCCACCCGCAGTCTGGCAACAACTAGATGTTGAGCCACTGTTAGGAGGTGAAGGACATCTTCAGGCCAGAGACCGTCTCCGTCAGGCTTTGCGTTATGTTCTGAATTATTTATTGTACAAAATGCAGGGGCGGGGAGCATTGTAGGCTGAGGCAGAGACGTGGGTGTTTCAACCCCTAATGACACCCCGGGGAGTGGTCAGTGCAGACACACTGGTTCGGCTGGCTGGCCGGTTCTCCCACAGTTCCCAGGTTCACTGGCAGACATGCCTGTTATGTGAGGGAGCGAGTGATTCTCCACTGAAGGTCAGAAACAATGGATTGAAGCCAACAACCAAGAGTTCTGGGAGTCAGAATCCTGGGCAGGCGCCTTCTTTAGAGTGCCCTGGCCTCTCAGCAAGTGTCCCTGACCCTCCTTCAGCTTTCTTCACAGCCTAATTGGGCGTACAGTGCCGAGCTGGAGGGTGTGGTCTCTTGCACCTCCACAGACTATGGTCCGGAGTCAGCTCACGGGGCTCTGGCCCAGGCTTGGGTGCACAGGCAGGAAAATGGGCCTCGAGAATGCCCTCCCCAAGCTTCCTGGATCCACCCCCTCCTTCCTCCATGCCCAGGAGGAGGGAGCGCTGCACTGATGCGCTGACACCCCTCGAGCTGCACTGTTGGAGCAAAGCCATGAGCGAGGGTCAGGGGCGGGCACATGGACCTCAGCTGGGGCTTCCAGGAGAGCCAGGTTGCAGCCCACCATGGACGCTTGCCTGGCCCAGGCCACCAGACTTGGCCTGCTTCTGGACCGGTGGTTACCATTCTCCACCGTGAAGAATACGCCAGGCAACTGAGGAACGGAGCCTCCTCCATCTCCGCGGTGTCCTGCATGGACATAGCTGCCCGCACCAGACTTCTTTTTCCTGTCGGACAGAAAGAGCATCGAGGAACTAGTGAAGAATCCTGAGGCGGTCCCTCGGGGTTCCCGGAGTATTTTGTATTTGTCTGAATATTTGAGTGTGTGCAAGTGTACCTGGCTTCCAAGACTTTGGGTTTTTTTGGAAGGGGTGGATGGGGAGTGGGGAAAATTGCGTTGATTTTTGTGTTGTTTTGTTTCCTAGAAAACCTTCCCTTCTCTTTTTATTGTGTCAGCTGGTCTGACGTTTTAAGAATGCCCATTCTTCGAAGACGTTGATGCTAAGTACTAGGACAGTTAGGTTAGGACAGTTCTACTGTGAATCCTGCTCTGGCTCTCGGAGCCCAGCCTCCGCTTCTCCTGCTCCGCCGTGGAATCCTAAGCAAAGTCCTTTCCTTGGCGAGATGGTGACAGGCAGTCCTAGCCTGTCCTTGACCGTGCCATCCTGTCAGCAGTCAGGGTGCCTTGGTTGCCATTTCCTTCCTCCCTTGAGCCTCAACACAGGGGACTTTAGCTAGTGTCCTGAGACCCTTGCGCGTCTGAGGCCTTTGATGCCCCCCTGCCGATGCCTGCTCTCTGCCCCTGGCAGTGAACCCACATGGACAGCGGTGGGCACTTCTGGGCAGACGACCCTGAGAAGGGCAGGGTGAGTGCTGTTCGGTGGGTCCTGCGCCCCTGTGCTTTGTGGAGACCCCTGCTCGGGACTGGCTCTGGGTGCCCTTGGGCCTGCAGCAGGACCTGGGCCCCTTCCGCCCACACTGGTAATCATGCTGTGCTGTTTCAGGGTGGGGAAAGGATAAGCTACCTGCCTTCTGGAAACCTTTGGGAATGATTTGAAAAAAATAAATAAGCTCAGCATAGTGGTTGTTCGTTGGTTCCTCCATCAGTGGCCAAGGCCGCTGGGCCTTCTAGGTCTGCCTTGGCGCAGGGCTGCCTGCCCCTGCTACTGGATGTCCACAGGGAGGGAGCAAGGCAGGCCCGACCTTCCTGCTGGTAAGGTTGTATCGCCCCCATGGCTAAGGGTGGTCCCATGGAGAGGGTTCTAAGGTGCGGAGAGACAGGGGACCGCATTTGGAGGGTGCTCATGGAGGCGGGCATCTTGCGTTTTTCTGTTATAAGGCAGTCCATCCACTCATTGAAAGATAATGACATGTGTTTCCAAGACCAAAGAGCTTTTTTCCTGAACTAAAAAAGGGTGTGGGGAGCAGAGGTGGGTGTTGGCCTCAGTGCTCCCGTGAATTCCATATCAGTGTCCTCAAGTCTCAAAAACACACGTGGTAAGTCCTGCCTTCAGGCACTGCAGGTAGAGTCATGGAGATGCACAGTGTCCTGGAGTCAGTCCTTACTGCTGTGGGTCCATGTTCCAGCGAAGGCGTCAGGCAAGCAAATAGCTTCAGATGGCTTTACTTCAGAGACTGGAGCACTTGAGTCCCTCACAACCTAACTCTGCCAGGGAGCTTTGGGGGAGCTTCACTAAGAAGGATGGATGGGAAATTTAGAAGATAGAAGAGGGGTGGGCACAGTGGGTGCAAAGCTATGGGATTTGGGGATATGGGAACTGAGAGTCAGCTGTGGGTTGAGGGGATGGCAGGAAATCAGCCTGAGGCCCGATGCTGAGAGCAAGGTAGGCCAGCTACCTTCCTTCTCTGCGCTCATGAACATAGTAATCTCTGTTCCTGGAGGAGGGACGCGGGTTGGATGACTATCTGGCAGCATGCATGGGTTTCCAGTAGAATGTTGGTGTCTAAAACAAGAAATCCTCCTATTCAGCTGCAAATGGGATCTTTTCACGGGTGGCTGGAACAGATACTTACAACGAGCAGAAGGAGTCCTGGGGGCACAGAGTTGGTGGTTTGAAACCACCCAGAACCTCTTCAGGAGAAAGCCCGAGAGTCTATACAGATTACAGCCCAGAAAACCCAATTTGGGGAGCAGGGCAGGGTTGGGTGCGGGCAGTTCCTACTCTCTCACATGGGCTGGCTGTGATCAAAATGAACTGGATTGCACACGACAACAGGGACTGAAATAAAGTCTTCCCAGCAGACTTTGTACCGTCTTGACCACTTTCCAGACTAGACATAAAAACAACACCAAACTCACTGCCATCGAGTTGATTCTGACTCCTAGTGACCAACTGGACAGAGGGATCAAAACTAATCTAGAAGCGTTTCCGCCCCCCCCCCCTCTCCATGAGCATGCTAATTCACTGAGAAGTTAAATACTGGCTGGGAAGCTTAGAATGAGGCTGGCCATTTGGTAAGAAAATAGCACGTGTGTGTGTGTGTGTGTGTGTGTGTGTGTGTGTTGGTGATAGGACATTTTCAGAAAACCAAGAGTGAGTCGCCTTAGAAATGATCACTGTGCTTTTCTCTCTCTCTCTTTCTCTCTCTCTCTGTCTTTCTCGGGGTGCAGTCCCGTGTGCATGACTGTAATGCCTGAAACTTCTATCCTTTATAAAAACTTACTTGGATCACACAAAAAAAGAAATGATCACTGTACATACAATTGTAGTGTTGGGGTGGTGTTGATTATGTCAGAGAGAACCCACTGCTCCCAGAGCAGGTCTGATTCCATCTGGGGGAGGCAGGGGGCCCAGGAGCAGAGAGTGGAGGGCCCGTGAGCCGCCCGCAGACAATGTGGAAGGTAACAACAGAAATCCAGCCAGCCCGGCAGATGAGTCCCGGAAGACAGAGACGTAAGGTCGGTGGGTTTGGGGACGCCATGTTCCCAATAGGCTACATAGAAAACGTGGTGCTTCCACTTAACAGGAGGACAGAGCAAGAGAAATGGCTGGATTGTGCCGCATGGCGCATTTGGGTACGCTTTCTGGAAGGATTTATTGACAGAAATCAAGCCGTGCATGGAATCCCAAAGAAACTGGTGGGATAACCCACTTAAAATTTGATGTGGGCCAGGAGGATGGGGTCCTCTGCTCTGTGGATTTATCTGACATGGCCTGGCTTCCTGCCTCCGCTGGGGTGACATCAGCTGCATAGCTCCCGCCCCACTCAGCCTCCCATCTGCCCGAAAAAGGGATGGAAAGAAGGGTGAATTGCCCGTGAGGTTTTCTTCTCTTTGTTTTTAATTGGCTGAGTTTGTTTTCATGCCCTCCGGTTGTTTCATTTCTTCAGCTTGGCTTCTTGGGAATGGACGCTTTACTTAAACAGCGGTTCTCAACCTGTGGGCCGCGGCCCCCTTGGGGGGGTCGAACGACCCTTTCACAGGGTCGCCCAATTCATAACAGTAGCAAAATTACAGTGATGAAGTAGCAACGAAAACCATTTTATGGTCGGGGGGGGGGTCACCACCACAGGAGGAGCTGTGAAAGGGTCCTGGCACTAGGAGGGCTGAGAACCACTGCTTCAATGAAAGCTCAGTGTCTGAGTTTCTCTGGGCCTGCAGAGGGCGGCGTCTTAGCCCCAGGGCCCAGATAGAAGCCTCTGGTCGTGTCCAGGGCTGGAGGCTCGCAGCCCGGGCTCCTGCTGGCGTGGCATGGGACTGTCCAAGCAGCGTGGGAGCCCCGCTCCGTCCTCCTCCTGCTCTTCGGAGAGAACCATTGGAGGCTGTGGGTGGTCAAACACAAGGGGGCTTGTGGGAACACAAGGCGTGTGGGAAATTCCACTTTGGTCCCGCTTTTCCACAGATGTTCCAACACGCTCAGCTAAAGGTGGGCGCTGCCCATCCATCCACAGGCCCCTGGAGGGGGGCGACCCGGCCAGCTACTTCCCACAGGGCTGGCGGTTCTCCGCTGACACCTGCGGGGGCCATCGTGGCTCAGAGTCCCCTGGAGGGCAAATGCCCGTGAGAACCCAAAGCTTGGAGAAGATGTCACCAGGTGAGAGCGGGCCTGTCTGTGTCTGAAGGGTTGAAAGGGTGTCAATTGAACCGCAAGGACGGCGAGGCTAGATGGGCACCCCTCAGGCCCGCTCAGCCCGGTGCTGAATGTGCGGGCCCTGCGGCAGGGCAGAATGTTCTAGACTGTTACTGGAGCCGTGAGAGACTAATGGAAAGAGGCGCTTCCAGGACAGAGCGCGCAGAGAGAAGCCCTGCCCCTGAGAGCCACGTGCCAGAGAGGACATGGACAGACGATAGGCGACCCCTCAGAGAGCAGGGCTGCTGCACCAGCTGCAGCGGGAAGTGGCCGTGGGAGGGAGGCTTCAAGGGAAGTGGCAGCAGCTTGGCCGTGAACCTGCAACCACAGAAGGGATTGGTCAATGAGCCGACCAGTCTGGCTAAGGAACGAGACTGTAAACGGACTTCATGGAACATTTTCGTTTTTCTGTGTCTGGGAGGCCTCTGGAACAGCAGGGCCCCGAGTTGTGCATTTGTCTAGTGCCTGCACAGGGCCCTCCTCGCTGCAGAGACAGGTGTGGGGCTGTGGCCCGGACAGATGTGGGGCTGAGAAAGAACAGAGGAGCCAGGATCTAGGAGCAAAAGTTCCGCTACCCCAGAGGAATCCGTCCCTCCCAGGCCAAATCCAGGGAAGTATGGAAGTATCCCCTCCAGATGGGCAGCCCTGGGGCTCAGTGTGCTGACATAACCTTGGGGGGCTCTGCTCAGAGTCGCTCCCATCGGGCCTCTACCCTCAGCTCCAGCCAGCAAGGGCACCCCCACCCCTGCCCCCAGGAGCCTGCAGCTATGATGGACTGGGCTGAAGCCCAGAGAGCCCAGCCCCCCCTGTCGACCTCCTGCGGCCTCTGTGGATCTGGTTGTGGAATGAGCTGCCGGAGCAATGGACGCCCTCCAACTCCATGAGTCAGTCTTTCCTGTAGCAGCAGCAACCTTGGACTTCCCCAGGGTACTGCTCCACACCTCGAAGGCCTCTCCCTGCAGAGCTCCACATCTGGAAGGCTTGGCTGCTCACCCAGAGACAGGGGTTAGAGGCCAGAGCTTCCCCCGAGTAACAGCAAGTCCAGGACTCTGTGCCAAAGTGCAAAATGCCTTCTGTACAGGTGCCTATAATCTAATATGACGTGAACTCTGGGAGGTGAGAACTATTACCAATCGCTCTTTTTCTGATAAGACAATAGCTAAAAGAGATTTGCCCCAAATAGGAAAAGGTCCAGGTGTTGGACCATGACAGATTCAGCATCCACTGCCAGACTGCTTGTCTTTTTTCTAATCCAGCCATCTCTTTGTGTGTGTCTCTCTCTCACACACAGGTCTGATAAAGAGCTTACAGCTTCTATCCTTTGTTTGCGCCCCAACTTAAAATCTTATATGCTGATTATTCCCTAATCAGACTGCAGCTTCACAGACCCCATTTCATTGGAAGAAGAGGTGTGGGCCCTCACAGAAACATTCATAGATCTCTGTGATCAGTGACAGACTTCCCACTGCAGCTAACAGACTTGGAATGTTTCTCCCATTTCACAAGGGGTGGTGGTGGTGGTGGTGGTGGTGGTGGTGGTGTGTGTGTGAAAGAGAGAGAGAATGGAGCAATTCAGATACAGTTGAAATGCTACCTGCACTCCTCCTTTTTTACCTAGGAGTGCTCCTGGGTTGGAAGAATCTGTAATGCTAACTCATTGCCATTGAGTCCATGCTGACTCAGAGCAACTCTACAGGCCAGGCCAGAACTTCCCCCTGTGAGTTGCCAGGACTGTAACTTTTCACAGGATCAGAAACTCTCATTTTTCTCCCAAGGAGTGGCTGGTGATTTCGAACTGCTGACCTTTGGGAGCACAGCCCACCTCATAGCCACTATGCCATCATGACTCCTAGATGAGCCCATAGATGGAAATGCATTCAAATCTTAGCCAGGAAGCTGACTTAGAATGTAATTGTGATACAGGTGGTCCTGTATTCTCAAATGAGGGGGACATCACACCCAGGAGGGCAGGGAACAGTGCCCTGACCC